ACATCAAAGTAGGTGTGAAGTTCAAGGTAAACAGATGTTTCAATTGTTTTTCACAGAATGCTGTCAGTTGATTAGTTGCTGTCTCCAGCAAAAGCCAGAGCAGCGGATTCAATTAAAAGAGATTCTTCTCCACAAATGGTTCAAGGTATGAAGCCTAAGCAGAGTATTTTGGGAGGGTTAATTCAAACACAAGACTATGGATGTTAGCTTAGAGAATATTAGATTTGGATTGACTTTTGATAAACTAATTGCTGTTTTTATTTTAGGACACCAACCTGGAGAACTGAAGAACAGCCACCCTACATGTTATTGTCTTGAGAGGAACGTTTCAGGCTGTTTGAGGCAGGAAATCTTGAGCAGGAGGTGGCTCCTCTCAAAACAAACAATAAAACATATGCATTAATTGAACTCTTGTGAAGAGTATTATTTGACAAAAACAATTCTAGGAGAGCACATATTTACATAGTACTGTGAATCTTCTGTCATGTATGATAAGTATGCAATGCATTTCTTGTGTCATGCTATTCTTACAGTTAAAAAGATGACTAGAGGCTGCATATTGACACAATAAACGTGTCAAAAAAGTCACCAACACAAAACAGCTGATGATAAACATCATTTTAAGCTGTAAAATGACATCATATTTCCACTCTGAAAATGAATATTTAAAATAACAGACACTTCCCTGCCACATGTATTTGTTCTTCAGACATCTCACCAAGCAATGAGACATTTAAATGCTGTCTAATAGACTCTAAACGTCTGGCCAAAAGAAGGCTAAATTTGGGTAGGCAGTGCAAATCTATATGGCTACTTGATGACTTGATTTATAGATAATTATTCATTCATTCATTTTCCTTCGGCTTAGTCCCTTTATTAATCAGGGGTTGCCACAGCGGAAAGATCTGCTAACTTATCCAGTATATGTTTTACACAGCAGATGTCCTTCCCCTACCTGTACTGTGGGGGAAACTGGAGCACCCGGAGGAAACCCACATGAACATAGAGAGAACATGCAAACTCCACAAAGAAACGCCAAGTGACCCAGCTTGGTCCCGCTAGGAAGCCAGCGACCACCTTGCTGTGCAGCAACAGTGCCAACCACTGAGCCTCCATGCCACCTTATAAGCAGTTAGATGTTTTTCAAACACACACAAAAACGTTTGTTTTTTTTCCCTTCGCAAGTTGAATAACTGTGCATAGGTCAATTCAAACATAATACATCTAGATATGTTTATATCATGTTTAGAGTTTTTGGCCATAAATACTTAAACAATGACAATATGTGGGCTTTAAATTGCTAATTTTAAAATTTTGTTTTAATTTTTTTATTTTCTGTGCAAATACAAAAAACATAAATAAATTTAAAAAAAATTGTGAAAATGGCAATGTCATGTGAAAGCAAATCCGAGCAGCAAACCCGGATTTCACAATCTCCTGGGCCCGGTTTTTCAAAAGTAATCCACTATGATTTTGGATAAGGGATTGGATCAAATCTTGAAAATGGGTTTTTCAAAAGAAAAAACGGATTACATAATCAGATTAGATCACGTAATCCAATCTTGGTTTTGATTTGGATAGTTTGGGTTTTTCAGACCTTTTTTGTAGGATCTGGATCACTTTGATCCAAAAAACCTGGATTAAACTGATCCCATCAGAAGGGTGGATTTAGCGTGGATTTCATGCCCGAAATGTAATGAAAACGTAAAAAAATGTATTAAATAAAACTATATTGGATCATGCAGAATCTTACGAGATATACTATTTATTCATAACGTTTTAATTTTATTTGTTCATCTGTCAGGCTATAGTGATTATAGGCTTTAACATACACTGTTAACCCTTATTGTAGATTATGCAGTAAATAACTGTAAAATAGCCAGTGTTTTGCTGTAATAAAATGAAACAGTATTTTACAGTAAAAGGAGCAGGATTTGTATGAAATTTTGTAGTGCAAAGAATAAATTACAGTAATTTATTTTATGTACCCATTACAGATAGTTACTGTGATAATAAATGGTAAATTACTGCTCAACCATTATTACCCCATGTACTCTGATGCTTTATTATGATGTGCCGTATAGGATTTAAATCAATCTTTGCTTATCAACACATACATTAAACACGTGTATATACACCTATTAATTACTTGCATATACACCTATACTACTGGATGTTCAAAACAACATGGATGAAACTTGTGTATATACATATAAACTTGACGCATGAATACACCCACATACACACGCACATATATATAAACTCGATCCTCACATAAACACCCACAATAACACACGCACATACATATAAACTTGCTGCATGCAAACACACCTATACACACTCGCATATACATATAAACTCGATTCTCGCATAAATACCCACATTTACATGCACATACATATAAACTCGCAGCATGCAAACACACCTATACATACTCGCATATACATATAAACTCGGTCTATGCATATACACCCTCAACAACACGCGCACATACACAAACTCACTGCATGCAAACACACCTACAACATCTCGCGCAAACACACAAAATAAAATAAAATAAAAAAATTCACAAACATTTATCACGAATCTGGTTATTGCAAAGCTTATAAAATAGAAATAATGTGATTAATAGAGGGATTAAATATGTTAAATTATGAACATATGTTATATAAAATATTAGTATATATATAAATAGACTATTCAAAATAAGAAATATTTTTATTTAAAACCTTTTCATTTAATTAGGTAATTACATACACAAATATAAATGGACAGATAGAACCCTTAAAGGACGTTTGAAAAGCAACCAGAACTATAAATATAAATATATACTCAAACTAAACTCCTCTTTTCTATTGCAAATGTTAATGTAGCCTATAGTCTTCTTGTTTTGTTTTTTACATTTTTATAATTATTATGCTTTTTATATGTTTTTACAATGTGGGTGTCAAAATTGCAAGATTTTGGTATCATTTTGATTGTTAATTATTCAGCATAGACAAAAAAAAAAAAAAAAAAAAAAACGCTGATTAAAAGTCTCTGCTCATCATGTTGGTCAAGTTAACCCCCATGGAAAAGCTATATATATTATCTGGAAACTCCTTTTGTGTTTAATAACTACTACTTATATTTTTACAGCAGCTGGCATCCAGCATTTTGGTGCATTAGCCTGTTTATTGGTGACAGGAAAACCCACTTAAGTGCATTCCTGCCCCCTACTGGACATAAGTGTGTATCATAACCCTTGACGAATAGTGACACCAATAATAAAACAAACATAAAAAACTAATATTAGACAAACATATTTTATTCAAAATGATTACTTAAGCAACTTTATATTTATTAAACCATAATAACATTTCCAATCATTTAATTGCATAATAAACCTTTAATTTTGCAGGAGCATTCCTTTGCATTACCTTTTTATTTATTTATTATTTATAATTAGCATAATCTATTTTCATAATTCAGCAGATGTAATTCCTCTATTAATCACATTATTTCTGTTTCTTAAGGTTTGCAATAACCTGATTCATGACAAATAATAATCTTGTTCATTACACTCAAAGGACTTTTACGTTGAAATGAAACGACTTCCTTTTAAAGTGAAATAACTTCCTTTTACTGTGAAAATTCATGCATACACACATATGAAATCACTTGCATATATGTATATACACAACTAACTGTATATATGTTTGTGAATTTTATTTTTTATGTTTGCACAAGTGTCATTTGGGTGTTTATGCACACATCAAGTTTATATTCTTATGTGAGAGTTTATGGTTGTATATGCATAGATCAAGTTTATATGTGTATGCGAGTGTGTATAGGTGTGTTTGCATGCAGCAAGTTTATATGTATGTGCGTGTGTTAATGTGGGTGTTTATGTGAGGATCGAGTTTATATGTATGTGCGTGTGTATGTGGGTGTATTCATGCGTCAAGTTTATATGTATATACAAAAAGTTTCATCCATGTTGTTTTGAACATCCAGTAGTATAGGTGTATATGCAAGTAATTTATAGGTGTATATACACGTGTTTTATGTATGTGTTGATAAGCAATTGTTTGATTTAAATCCTATACGGCACCTCATATGCTACCACTGATCTATATACACTTTTTGATAAGTGGCTGCTTCATATTTTTGTTGAAGTAATAATATATTATTTAAAAAAACTCCAGCTCTTTTAGTCAACACTGATATAACATTTTTTCAAAAGAAAGAAAAAATACATTCATAATGTTACAAAAGATTTTATTTCAAATAATTCAATCCTGAAATCACAGCAAATCAGCATACTAGACTGATTCTTCAAGGTCATATGACACTGCAAGCATCACACATTGTGCTTAACTTAATAAAGTGGTGATCGCATAAAAATGATTTCCCAACCCTGAATTACGCATATCTATCGGCCACTGATGCTTTGCAATGGGAAAATGTTATCAGACTTATCTCTTGTGCAATATGGAATTACGTATGTGTGTGTTGACCTATATATTACATGACTACCGACATTCCGACAGACTTAACACTGTTGAGTAACAGACCCAGACATTCAACCTATATGCCAGGCCCCTAGACAATTCACACAAACACATTTAGTTAACACAGGAAATCATTGATCTCTTTTCTCAAAACAAATACACATCAGTGAAACACGCAAAACAAATCCTGATGTTATATCACACACGATGTCCGGTCAGTTAAAATGTTTTTTCCACCAAAACGCCCAGCATAAAAGTGAATAACACATGATAGTCTGATGACACGCTGACTTCTCTGGATTTATATGCATGCATTCTTTCAAATCAGCCCTTTTTCTCGCTATAGTCCCGAATTGCTCGTTACAAAACTCCGAGCTTCATGTTTTGTAATGCGCCTCGGCTGCCAATGGACGCGCTCGCTCACGGTCACGTGAGTGTATTTTTACGTAACTCGCGGACAAAACGCCAGTATGTTTAGGAGCGCGAGTCACTACGTTCTTCTACACTGTTAACCGTAAGAATGCTTTGACATTTTTATCATTTATTATATTTTGCCAGTTCAGTGGGCGTCGCTCGCAAACATGTCGTTGCGGAGACTAGACCAAGACTACGCTTTGGAGGAGAGAGGACGGTTTTTTATACCATCCGAAACTGAAGGCGACTGGGACGTGGACGAGCATGTCGATCACCGTCAACTTGTTTTGCTCAAAGCTGAAGCTTTAGCGTCGGAAAACCGTCTCAAAGAGGCTGTCGATATGTTCGCCATGGCTCTCAGATACGGTCCTGTCAGGCCGGAGCAGCTGAGCAGTTTGGTCGGATGCGTCCTGCGCAACTTCAAGAAGAAATCAGAGGAGTCGCCAGCGAGAAGTGAGCCGAACTGGACACAGGACTGTGAATTAGACTGCCCTGGTTGCCACTGTTTCATAGCCGAGCCCGTGACGGTGACCTGTGGACACACGTATTGTAGGAGATGTTTACAGCATAGCACTTTTTCTCAATGCAAAGTGTGCAACGAGGACATTAGGAGGAGGCCAGGTGAACCCCGGCTGAATGTGATATTGTGTGGACTTTTAGACAAGTGGTTTCCAGAAGACGTCAAAAGAACTAAATATTTAGGGGAAGCTGAAAGCCTGTTGAAGAGTAAACAGTACGACAAGGCGATTGCACTAACGAGTCGGTTATTAGACTATGGTAAGTTCGCATCCTCCTGTTTTATTGTTGTTGTTATTATTATTGTAAAATATATGCACTGTCGGAAGGGTAATTGGGTCAAGTTTTTATATTATTAATAGGAGGTTTAAGGAGTTCCACTGACCAACATTTGGATGGCCAGCTGTAACTTACATATTAGCCCCGCCCCCCGCGGTCATGTAACAGGAGAGTGGCTGCATTACAAAACGTGTTCGCATGGCGCATGCGCACTCGCCGCGCGTTGTGTAAGGCAGGTCGTGACACAGAGAGTGTTTTGTAATCTGAATCAAAGTGAGTTTTATAATAACAAGTAGAACAGTGCGTTATAGCCATAATGTTCTATTGTTTATTCACGAGACCGATGCGTGAGGGCTGTCATGTCCTGTTGGTTGAATAGTAACCTAAATCCTAAAACGCTTTTGGTAAACAACAGCTGAAAAAGGTTGCAATGTCAAAACAGGCATGAATTGTTACTTTGTATTTAACGTTTTTTATCAGTTTTTACCTTTTATGAGTGTATTTTTGGGTGTTTATGCTAACAACTAAGTTTATCAAAAGGCGTAATAGAAGTGCAAGTTGTATACCAAAATTCAAAAGCAGCTGGACTGAAAAGACTGCAGACTATATATATATATATATATATATATATATATATATATATATATATATATATTTACACACACACACACACACACACGTATGTGTGCGTGCGTGTGTCTGTGTGTGTATATATGTGTGTGTGTGTAATATATATAATTTATATTCATTTTCATTCATTTATTTTGTCCTATTTAGATCCTGAATACCCATATATAACCATGACACATTAAGTTCAGTATGTTATGTTATGGAGAACCTTGAATTTCTATTCCAAATGTCTGGATGTCGACAAATTCCTCTATTCGGGTTATAAACAGTATTACATTACATCAGCTGGTGATTCCTGATTTAAAAGAGATAATCTTTGTCCTTTTTATATGAGTTTATATAACTTTTCTCACATCAAAATATTCTTATTATTATTATTTAAATGCATTGTTGATTCATAAAAATCAAGTGGCAGGCAAGAAAACATTGAGTTGCATAACATATATATAAGGTCATCTTGTGTAGTTAAAATTGGAAGGACTTTTTTATTTAGTAATCACACTGTGTTCTGGGCACATGTTTTGATAAAAGTGTGTGTTCCAGATAAGTAACATCATTGAGCAAATCAGAGGTACAGTATAATCATGGTGCGGCAGTCTCATCTTCACTGCTGTGTCCTCATTTACCCTGCTGGAGGAAAAAAACAAGGCAGCCCTGCAGTGTCACTCAGTTCATGTTCCCTTGTGGCATGTCGGTTCACAAATGTCTCTCGTTGATCTTCTCATCTTACACATCATAAAATCTCGGGGATCACGAGTATGAAAATTAATGACACAGCGCCTGTCAGACTGTAGAGGCAAGATAGTGCAGCTGGATAGGGTAAAAAAAGGCAACAGCTAAGAGTTATTACTATTTTTTTTATTTTCGATTACATTAAGATTTTCAAACTCATTTTGCATTGCAGCTGTATAAAAAGTTACATTTTAATCAAATAAGGCATTGTTTTGTTAAATATGTGCTTATTTTCATACTTTTCTATCACAAGCATCTGAGCATTGATTGAAGTCAGACTGAAAATTCCTTTTATTATTATTTTTTTGACATATTAGAGAAAAAAGTTTTTAAAGAAGGGATTTGAGGAGTCTTTTATACATTTATACACTCACCCATCCTGTCTGTCTGTCTGGCTATCTCACCATCTCTCAATAGTTACATTACATATGCAATGTTGAGAGTTTATATGTTGGGATTGTATTTGAGCATAATGATAATTGGCCATAAGTTCGCAAAACACGAGGTTTGTGGAGTTTAACCATAATAAAAGTTTATTATTTGCGTGTGTTTTTAACACCTGTGACTTTGCATCCCCATTTCTAAATTTAGTAAAGATTTATTTTATTTAACTATGTACAATGTTAAATCTAAAATAAAATTAAATCTGGACTTTACTAAAACTATGTTAAGCTGCTTTGACACTATATTGTGAAAAGCGCTATACAAATAAACATGAATTGAATTGAATACAGTGTAGATTATACGGTGTGTTTTTTACATATGATTCATTTTCTGTACCTAAATATTGTTTAACTCCTCAGAAAAAATATTCATAAAGCACATTCAATATAATTGTTTTTCTTTGCTTGTTCGTATTTATCAATGCAATTTTATTCTTTATTGTATTTTATGTGTGATTCACACCTTGATTAATTCCAAATCAGTCTAAATTAGTGAATTCTTTCCAAATGGAGCTATTTCAGCTGCCTGGTGAAATTATACTTATATCGCAATATATATATTGCAGAAAAGCTAAATAGCGCAATTTTATATTTATCCAATATTGTGCAGTCCAATTCCTATGTAAAAAAAAAAAAAAAAAAAAACCTTCATGAGGAATTTTTGCAAAAAAATACCTTTTAAATATGTATTGTAACTGAAATCTGTTGACAAACACTTTTAAAGAGTTTATTTCGCTTGTTTTGTTTACATTTAAAACACCAAAATAGCCTAAAAAAATTGCAAAAAGCTCCAAATCTCTTTATTGACTGGTGCATGAAAAGCAGCATTTCTGCCTGCGGTATCTTGTTTTAAATTAAAAGTAGTTAAAGCTGGAGTTTTTACATGGTTTCTCAGTTTCTTTTTATCTCTCTGTTTCTCCCAGGCTCCAGTAATATGTGGGTGCAGATCTGCCATGCTGAGGCTCACAGAGGACTGAAGCATCACCGTCAGGCTTTGGAAATCTGGGAGTCATGCCTGACAGTTTCCCCATTCCCAGAGGTATGTCTGAATTTTCCCAACACAAGCCACCACAGATGGCTTATTCACGCAACATCAGTGTGCTTTTGTTAATGTTACACTAGCTGGATTGTTGCTTTAAAAACAGGTGGAATAGTCAAGTTTGAGTGTCAGTGTTTAATCATAATGTGACAGGATAAAAGGTAAATCTTAATGTGTGAGCCTCATGTGTTTTAAGTGGAAACATAAATTTAATTTAATTTTCATTTGTTTTTTTTTTAAGAAAAAAAAAAGGTTTGCACTCATTAGGTCACCACCAAAAAGGGTTTATTTCATTTATTTATGAAAGATCCACTAAAAATGCATGTGCAAAATGCTTTTGTGTGTGTTTTTTAAAGTGAATAAAATTTAATCTCTTTTTTTTTTTCGCTTTTTAATAATCATTTAGATCTACACACCAAAACATTTTTTAGTTTTTGTTTTTTTTGGACTAGTGTGTTGCTTTGTTACCATTTTAACCTCTGATTTTATTTTATTGAAACATAATTAAAAATGCAAACATTATGTTCTTGTATAAGTTTATTTAATTTTTTTTACACAGATGTAACTTTTTACTTTAAATTGTAAATCCAAAAACTTAATAAATAAATAAATATTTAAAGTAGTACATTACCTCTTCCATACCATGGCATTGAAAAAAAAACTAACAACATAAAAATAAAATAAACATCTTTCCAGACTTTCTGAGTTAACAGTGAGAAAACAGAGTTTACCATATTTGTTCAGTCCATATGCTATCATTTAACATGAGAGGCTTGGCAAGATCTAAAAGAAGGAATATACAAAAGAGGTGCATCTTAATACAAAAAGGTCATTTCCTCTTGATACACAAAAGCTTCCAGATATATCAAAGTTAACAGTGAGGGAATACATTATGTTATATTCTTTAATCAATATGTTATCATTTGACATGAAGGGCTTGGTAACATTCAAAGAGTACAAAAAACAAATAATAGAAATAAAAATAGAAAACATAAATAAATAAATACATTTATTCTAAAGACCAGGAAATTCTTCAAAGTGTTTAAAGGGGGATCATTTGTTTAGGAACTTTTTTTAGTATATTTAAGACCCAGCTTTGCATTCGAGGCTTTATTTATATGTTTATGTTCAACATTTTTATTTAATTTGTTTTATTTTAACAATCATTTGCTTTTGATGTTTATGTTTTGACAAAAATAAGTGTCAGTTGCAATTTATACTGCTACAATGTTTTTATAACATCTATACCCCTATGCAGGAAAATAATGGCATTAAGTGCCAAGTAAGGCTAGTAATATTTGAAAAACTTGACATTGCGATATTTTATTTTGCTGCGATTTATATTGCGATAGGAATATAAATTCACCATATAGCTCTGTTTGGAAAGAATTCATTCATTTAGATTCATTTCATTTTTTATTAGTCTCTTTATTAATCTGGGTTCGCCACAGCTGAATAAACCACTAACTTATCCAGCATATGTTTTACGCAGCGAATGCCTTTCCAGCTGCAACCCATGACTGGGAAACATCCATCTGATTATTTATTTTAAATGGGAATTTCAGCACCACCTCACCTGAGCACTGTTTGTTAAATTAGCTCTCGTTTCTTCTGTTGTTGTGGAAAACCCTGTTATGGAAATGTAGTTTAACACATGAGTAAGGCATACAGGATGTTTCTAAATAAGCTCAGCAGATACAGACAGGTTGAGGGATGTGGGTCATTCAAGTGTGTATTAATGCTGTTGCGTCTCACAGCGTCTCCCTCTGTTATTAGCCTTCAGACCATTGACTAGACTCTCAGTCAGATTAACCCAAAAACATCTGCGTGACTGGACGCTAAGCTCTCTCCGCTCTGCCTCTCTCCTGCAGGGTTATTTCCAGAAAGCAAAAATTCTCCAAGAAATGGGTCATGTAGATGAATCCCTGCAAGTCTTCCTTCAGTGTTTGGCATTGGACGAAAACTTCCACCAGGCCAAACGAGAGGTGGAACTGGTGAGATGGAATTCTTTGTTTATATGTAAATAGAGGGATGTTAAAGTCTGGGCTTTGGTATTGCAGCCTGTATTTTTGTGTGTCAGAACTAAAGTGAAATATGATAATTATTATTCTTATTATTGTTATTATTATTATTATTAGTAGTAGTAGTAGTAGTAGTAGTAGTAGTATTATATTAAAATTGTGTTATTATATACATTTTTATTTTATAAATTAAAATAGGTCACCATTTTAAAAAGGAACAAAACAAGCACCACATTAATAAAGAATAGTAATTTTTTTTTTAAATAAGGGAACCATTACGTAAATTAAATAAGCAATTTCCACTTGAATTATTATACTCATTTAATTTTAAGTTATTTGTATTACATTTTAAAAAATAAATAAGCATTCCCCACATGAATTAATATACTTAATATTTAATTTAATCAATTTTATTTCATTAAAAAATAAATACATAAGCAATCTCCTCCTGCATTAATATACAATAATTACACTGTAATAAAAATAATTAAATTTAATTTAAATCAAATAGTATTTATAAAAAATAAGCAAACTCTACATGAATTAATGTAATTATTATTATTATTTAATGTAATTTTAAATGTTTTTATTACATTTAAAAAATAGACAAGCACTACAAGAATTAATAGTATTATATTATATTATATTATATTATATTATATTATATTATATTATATTATATTATATTATATTATATTATATTATATTTATTTTTCACCATCAAAAATAATTGCATGAATGAATAAATAAGCAAACGCCACATTAATAAATATACTAATTTTCATTTTATTTATTTATTTAAAATAATTTAAAAATAATATTAAAATAATAATTCATTAAATGCATATACAATTAAATTAAATAAACAAACTACACATGAATTAATAGTATTGAATATTATATTATATTTTTATTTAAATTATTTTAAATGAGTGTACCATTACAAATAAATAAGCAAACCCCACTTGAATTAATATACTTTCTATTTCATTTATTTATTTTTATTAAATTTATTGTAAATGATTTTAAATTTTCAATGAGTATTAAATAAATAAATAATTAAATTAATATAAAATGTAAACAAATACGCAAACTACACATGAATTAATAATACTGAATATTATATTATATTATATTATATTATATTATATTATATTATATTATATTATATTATATTATATTATATTAAGTATATTAAATTAAACTCGGTCATCAATTTTAAGTGCATCCCATTTATCCCAATTCTAATAATTTAATTATGTTATTTAGTAGGGATGTAACGGTATCAGAATTTCACGGTACGGTAATACCTCGGTATGAATGTCACGGTACGGTATTTATTGAATCATTTACAGGAAAAAACAAAACTTATGAAAATACTCCAAAAAAGTGCCAAAAGTGTCAATGACATACAAATTAGCCATCTATCTGTAAGCTTTGAAACAGGAACTTCAATTTTAATAACAAAAAAATATTAAACCATGTAAAAAAATTAAGTTTCAATTTAGTATTGTTGAAAACTCATCACATTCAACATTTAATCACTCACTCACTTAGGTAGAGATGGGTTTAAAGGAAAATTATCATATAAATATAATCTGGTAAAAGCTGGTATCTCTGGGCATTTACAATGTCCCCTGCAACAGAAAAAAACCCTCTCATTTGGGACTGAGGTTTCTGGGACAAGAGAGATATGACGCGACAACACAGCTGATAAGAACTCGCGCGACAACACTGCTATTCAGTACGCGCGCGACAACACAGCTGATAAGAACTCGCGCGACAACACCGCTATTCAGAACGCGCGCGACGACAACACCCGCTTTATAGTTTTACAGCTCTTTTTCATCCCCGCTTCTAGCAGCACACTCCATTTCCGCATTACTGGATCTGTAGCGACAACAGACCGCAAGGGATGATGGTCAAGCATGGGCTGATGGGAATTGTAGTCCCGTTCGCTTCATTCGCCTGAGCAAATTTTCTCAGAAGACCTATAGTTTTACCGAGTCATGCGACTTCGGTAATATCGAAAAAAATTAATATTGCGGTATGACGGTATTTACAATACCGTTACATCCCTATTATTTAGTATTTTTTTTATGGAAGTTACAGAATTTCTCACAGCATCTTAATGTTGTATAACATGTTTTGCTGATTTGTTGTGGTTTTCATCAACATGCAGGTTTGTCAGCTAACGGTGGCCCTGCATTTAGTTTATTCAGAACTATATCAAGCCAATTGTTGGCACAGTAGGTTTGGTCTCACGATAGCGTTGATTTATAAGTCAGAGGTCAGCGCAGTGGACACTGACCCGTTCTGTGCTCAAGAAACACTTCTAGTTATTTGTGTCCTGGAAGGTTAAGCTGGTGTAATGTGCTGTGGCCAAACTGATGTTTTCTATCAGTGCTGGACCATGATTCAATTATACGACGTAACTATTACTGGTGAAGCCTTGTGCCTTTCTGTTAAACCACACCGATTGTGCTGGGAGCATTGCATAGTCTGTATCTTTAAGAGCGTGTGTGTGTGTGTGAGTGTGTGTTTACAGAGGGCTTAAAACACTCTTATGTAATTAGGTGCTTTTTTTTCTCTTTGGCCTACTTTAGTCCTGCGAATGGTTGTAAAGGACAAATCATAATCTCTGAATGACGTTTGCAAGGATTGCTTGTAATTCCTGCAGTCTATTTTCTTGAATATTTTTCTATTGAACAGAATGAAACAGGATAAATTGTGTGCATTATATAGTGTTGTAAAGTAAAGTAAAAATGTTTGGTTTTTTTTGAGTGCAAAACATGCCTAATTTTTGCCTTGTTTTAGAAACGTTTATATTTATAGACAAGCTTAAGATGGCACAATACAAATGTTTTAACTTAAGAAAAAATTAGAATGCAATATTTGGTGGAATAAACAATGATCTTTAAAACATTTTGTTAATCTGACCTTAATTTCTAAAGCAAAATGTTCGAAATAGTAATATTTTTATTTAAATTTTGCAAGGAATTTTGTCAAATATTAACATGTTTACTCGTATACATACCCAAATAAATGGTTTCTAATTTTTTTATTTATTTGATTAATTAGTTATAGTATTCTCTTTTTTTCTCCACATTGTTTTCTAAATGCATTTGTTTCCTTTTTCTCTTCTCCTCTTAAGATCTTGCATGACCTGTTGGCTCCAGCCAGTGATAATGTCAAGGTTGGTTTGAGAGAGACGACCCACAACACTTGCTCTCACTTGCGCAGTAAAACCCTGGTGTCCGAAAACCAGGAACAAAACCAGCAAATCCAGATGCAAAACCAGCACCAGTCTGACATGTGGACAACATCTGCACAGCTGCTCCCTAAAACAGCAGAGGTACACCAGTCTGTCCTGCAGCAGCAAAAAAAAAAGTCCCCAAATTCCATCTGTAAAAACCTATAGTTTAGTTTAGTTTAAGGGTTTATCAATCCCCTTGGGACAATTCATTCTGACATGATGGTGGCATCACGTATAACAAGAGTGACACCCTTAGCACAATAAACGCCAACACTTAACATCAAGTACACAAACAAAAAACTGAAAGAAAAAATAATGATACAAAAATTAAATCAAGAATTTTTAATACGTTTTGTGCTAGAAATGTTTGATTTGTATATTTGCCACAACCTTTTCGGAAACTTCGTACACTGCATTACATTTTTTTATTTTACTTAAAGTTTTTCTCTTAAAGTTTTCAAAATAATGGATTGATAAAAAGAAATTCCCAAAATTCTCTCTGTCAAACCATTCATTAGAAATTTTTAGTACGTTTTGTGCTAGAAATATCAGAAATTTCAAACATTTTTTATTTGCATATTTATATTAATGTATCAGAAACAAAAATGTTTGATATTCTAACACTTATTTTTTACATTTTACTTAGAGTTTTTGTCTTGTTTTTTGTCTAAACTTAAAATCCAAAAAATAAAGGAGCATTTTCTGGACAATTGAAAAATATTGTTTTATTTTCAGAAATAATAAGTCAAAATCAAATGAGTTTTTCCTGAAAACAAAGCTAAATAATCTGCCATTTGTGTAATTAAAATAATCTTTCTTCACCCCCTTACCCCCCCTCCCCCCACTTGCAAATTATTTAGCTTGTTTATCAAGACTAAAACTTGAAGTAAGAAAAGCTCTAAAAAAACATTGCAATGTCAAATGTTTCCAATATTGTAAAGCCCTAACTATTTGTACACTTTTTTTTTTTTTTTTTTTTTAAACCCTATTCATATATGTCACCTAAAGAAATAAATCTGTAGTTGACCGTGACACGAGCACCTCCTAATACTCCAATGTCTCTCTTTTTCCATGTGCAGAAAGCAGGTCGGTCTGAAAGTCTGGAGCGCTCTGGCCTCAGCAGAGCTCACTCTCTGCGCATTCATGGGATTGGAGGAGTTGTGGAGGAGGGGCTTAAGAGAGTTAGCTCCGCCCCTCAGCTGGGTGACCCAGATAAAGGCGCACTGTTGAAGAGAAAGCTCTCCGTGTCTGAAGCAGGGCCCGGCATTGCACACAGCCACAGCACTAAATGTAAAAAACAGCTAGGTAAGTTGTGCCCCCTGACTAGTGCACGATGCCAACACTGTGCAAATGTGTGCAAATGTTGTGTTAATACACACTGGTGGTTTTTCAGTGACCGCAAACCAAACTATACAAGGCTATCTTTTGCATTTCCAATTGTGAAGTGAGTCGGAAATGAATAAAATTAAACAAATCCTCAACATTTCTCCTTCAGTGACCGCTAGTGCTGCTACTCCTGTGGTCATGGAGGAAGCCAAGTCCCATCAAACTCTGCCAAAAAACCTGCTGGACCCGAACGATTTTGAATGCTCTCTCTGCATGAGGTGAGGAAAGAGTGGTGCTCAAGTCTATCTGACTTTCACGTTCAGTGATTTCAAGGGCATATATTCAGCAAACTGATGCTTTTATGTAGTGTGTACTGTATGATGAATAATGCAACGATTCAAGATGTGTAGTTTTATTCTAAGAAACTTGAGAATGTGTTATCACTTAAAGTCATATTAACTGCATTGGATTTGTTACATTTAATTAAGTAAAAATGTGTTATATGGCATTACTATTTAACTTGCATTTAAAGTTATTTTTATTTTTTAAAATTAATGACCATTTATTGCAGATATTTGTATTATGTTACTATTTTATTTAATTATAATTTAGCTGGTTTTATTATTTATAATATAATTAAATTATTGATAATTAAAATAATAATTTTAAGTAATTTGTATTTTAAATTCCTTCATATTAAAATTTATATATTTTTGAAATCCTAAAGTTCAAGAGAATGTTAGTAATTTTAAGTAACTGCAGAAAAATATTACTCTGCAATAATATTGTCTTGTATTTTTTGGAATTTTATGATCTTTATATTTTATTTTTAGATTTAAAGTAGACTTATTTATTGTAAATAAAATCGATTCATATATGTCAAATACATGATATGTAAAATATCATTTTATAATTAGATTTTAAACAAAGTTCTTAATGACTTTCAACTTATTTTGTTTCAGTTGTTGTGCATTTGCTTGATTTTTTTTTATTTTCTATATTGATTCAATAATTTTGCATATAACATTACAACTTTTTAAAAGTGAAAATGAAAAATGAAAAGTTTTAAATGAGAATTGTGTCCACTAGCAAAATAAGTTTTGTCATTAAAATTGGTAATAAAAATTATGCACAATTCACTGTTACATGTATTAATTACTGCTAGTTTGTTGCTTAATGAAATAAAAGCTGAACCAATAGAGCTTTAGCTTAAATGAGTTAAATCCAGAGCCTGTAGTGAAAACTAAAAAACTGTCAAATGGCTTTTCTGATGTCTCTGTAAAAATGCATGTTCTACTACCTCACTGAAATGAAAAGTGCTAGTTGTTGTTTAATAAAGCTCAACATGATCTCTTCTCTTTTCTAGATTATTTTATCAGCCCGTCACGACACCTTGTGGTCACACATTCTGCACAAACTGTCTGGAGCGCTGTCTAGACCATAATCCCCAGTGCCCTCTGTGTAAAGAAAGCCTGAAAGAGGTTTGTATCCCATGCATAACCTTCATTATTTGCATTGCAAGCAACATTCAACTAATTAATCTTAATAAGTAATTATAATTGCATTAATGTTTTAAGTAGCAAATTAGTTACTATCATGAGATTATTATGAGTTATTGCTGGCAGAATTATCCTCAATTTGTTTATTTTTAGTGAGGTTTATATGGTAAATGTTTAACGGTAAAAAATATTGTTTTTATTTTAAAATGTTTTTTTATTTTATAAAAAATATAGAGAGCTAAAATAGAAATATACATATAAAAATATATGTAATTCATTTGTATTAATTAATATTATTTTATATTTTTCTGAAAATAGGATATTCATTTCATGTAACATTTAAATATTAAAGTTAATTTTAAAGAATTTATTAATTCAAATAAATGTTAGTACAAAAAAGTTACAATTGTTCATAAATTATATTTTTTATCTAATCATATAAGTATTATTTAACATTTAGGTTTTAATTAGCATTTTTTTATTCAGTTCATACATGCTTTTCATTAAGTGCATTGTACTCATGTTTCTATAATCTTTCTCCTTTTCTCTCTCTTCTTCTTCACTTCACTTTTGTTCTTGCAGTATCTTGCCTTTAGAAAGTACACAGTCACACAAGTGCTGGACAACATCATTAAGCAGCATCTTCCCAAAGAGCATTCAGAAAGAGTGAAACTGCATGCAGAAGAAACTAAAGAGCTCTCAGAGTAAGTTAGCACAACTGCTTTGTTCATGACCATCTGATCTAATCAAATTCATAGTTTGATGATTTCTGTTTTGAAGTGTTACATAAGATGAATCTGCACTAATTCCAGGCTCAATGTACTGTACATTTGTTGTGCATAATAATTTACACCAAGATCCAAATCAACACAGAACTTAATGAAATAAGATTCACAAAAAAATATATATTTTTAAAATGTTAATGAGAAGTTTTATTTGCAATGATCATTGTATGGAATTTAAAAGAGCGCGTAATCTAATTCTCTTAAAATGTATCACTCAAAAACAGTTTAAACAGCATTAAAAATAACACATTTTCAAAGTTTTGCAAACTGAACACATGCATTTTATCACTATTAAAAGAAAAAAACAGGCAGTGTCTCATTCTCTAGTGTTTTTTCAACAGACATACAATCAGGCTTAATCTTTTGGCGTTAATATCAAGGCATTCAGCGATTCAGCAAGAGGCAATACACATAAGAATTACTAATTATACAAAGCAACCTTTAGTGCTCTGAGAATATAGTGTTAAATGAGTAATGGGCGGGGGGTTATTTAGTTTTTATTAGAGAGAAGTGTTTGTACAGGTGGTTTGTCAAACCCACTCCCCTTTGTGAAACATACATCATTAATAACAACTCACCCTCAATCTCTTCTCTCTGTTATTGTTCTTTCCCTAGTTTAACGAAGAATGTGCCCATCTTTGTTTGCACCATGGCCTACCCGACTGTGCCTTGTCCGCTCCATGTGTTTGAGCCACGATATCGTCTCATGATCCGCCGCTGCATGGAAACAGGGACGCGTCAGTTCGGCATGTGCATCAGTGACCCCCAGAAAGGGTACGTTTTTTATGTGTATATTTAGTTATTTTTTTTATTTATTTTGTGGGTTTGCGAGTCTGTTTACTGATTATTTCATTATGACGTGTTCAGGTTTGTGGATCACGGCTGCATGCTTCAGATCCGCAGTGTGCATTTCCTCCCAGACGGACGCTCCGTTGTGGACACAATCGGAGGAAAGCGGTTTCACGTCCTCTCGCGTGGAATGAGAGACGGATACTGTATCGCCAACATTGAGTATCTGCAGGATACAAAGGTATACACTCCTCCTGGATGTTTAGCATATTTGAGTACAGCCCATTTTGAACATAAATATTTTTGTCCATTTCTCAGTGAATATAGGTAATGCATTTTAGTGAATTTAAACAAAACAGATTTATTAAACATGTATATTTAATAAAATTATATTTTAGTCACCAAACCTATTTAGAAATTGAAAGATAATGCAATTAAATTCAAGCTAAATATTGCAATAACAAAAAATTACAACCTACTAAATCTTTCAAATTTTTTCCTCTTATTAAATGTTTATTTAATATTTTTCTCCAACATATAAATTTAGCTGTACTAGTTTTTAGACCATTATCGTAAGTTATTTTGTTAGATAAGCTCCAGATTTGGATTCAGTACTGACTAATGTATATGCACAAATCTTATTTTTTAGAGCTTCCTATTAAAAATGTAACTTAAAAGATAGATTTGTGAGGGGTGTAGTTATATATGCTGAGCACTGTATATATAAAGTAGTCAACATTTGAATCTTTTCATAATTGTCCTAAGACAGTAATGGGCTTTGTTTAGTAGTTTTAAGTAAACTTTGATGAAAGGTGATCAATCGCTTCAAATGTTGACCACTGTAAATGTGTATATCTGTGTTTTGACACATTGTTTGTATTATGTAGCTGAGAAATAAGTGAGTTTTAATTTTAATAGGGCAAGTAAAAAAAGTACCACTGGCCATTACAAAAAATCCTTAGCGTTTGCCCAGTAAAAGTCTGAACTTTCATTCATAATAGTCTTAAAAAGGTCTTAAAGTCTTGAGTTTGACTTAGAAACAGAACCTTGTTTAAATGTGACCAAGTTTTAACCACTTTATTACAACATTTACTCTCCTTTATATTCAATAAATAATGTGATCTGTGATTCAGTCCTAAAAGCATGCAAGTACGAAAAAAGCTAAATATATTTTGCTGAAGTTTTTGTTTTACTCTGACATAACTTTCAATTCCTGCTGCTCTTGGAAGATTTTCATATTCGTTTCACTAATTTACACTGTTTACTATAGCGCTCTCCTTCAAGTAACTTGTATGGAACCCATATGTTATTTTCTAGTACTCTTACTAAAATGTAAATAAATCTTGAATTACAGGCACAGTGTTATTAAAGGAATAATAACATTGAGAAATGATGTTTGTGCATTGCAGGTAAACGATGAGGAAGATTTGAAGAAGCTGCAAGTGTTGCACGATCAGGTGTACGATCAGGCCCGTAAATGGTTCCAGAACCTGGAAAACCGTTTCCGCAACCAGATCCTGCAGCACTTTGGGCCGATGCCTGAGAGAGAAGCAGACATCCAGGTATATATCCTGCTCATTGAAAACAAATCCAGCTCTCTCCAAAAAAGTCTTTACCCTACAATAACCTGAGCATGAGGAAATGGGTCAGAGTGGATTCAGGGTTGCGTTTACATAAGTGCAGTTGCATCATAAGTGTGTCACAGAGAGCGGAAGTGAATTTGGCAGCTCTCACAAACACTGTCTGGTAAACATATTAGGGCGTTGTCCAGAGAAGGAATGACATGCTCTGAATATTAACAGAGAATGATATGCTTGTGTAAGCTCCAAAAGCAAAACACTTCCCTATATGCTGGATTTCAGTTGTCAGAACTGTGATTTCAGAGGGCAAATGAGATTTGAACTGATGTTTCCTGAGCTTTTATTTTGCTTGTTTGTTTTTTTTTTTGCAAAGTAGAGCATGAAATTTAAGGGGTCATATGATGAGCAATCACACTTTTCTTAATGGTTTGAGATTTAAAACAAAGCTTTATGCAGCTCAGAACTTTCTCATGAGTTATAAGAGCTGTAAAAGAGCTGTAAAACCACATCAGTGATGTAAGAAGTAAGATCTGCATAGTCATAGTGAGGTAAAAAGAGGACACCAGGAATTAGCTTGTGTTCATTTAATAGTCATTTTTAGACGATTCTTGGTAGTTTTTATAGCATAAAACAATCATGTGTGTAAAAACATTTATGAAAAATATAAGTGATTTAAAAACTAAAATTAATCTAAATAGAAGTATTTTGACTCCCAGTAGCACCTTACAGTAAGGTTCTGTTTGTTAGCATTAGTCAACTGTATTAGTTAACACGAACTAACAGTGTAAAATACTCCTGATACATTAAATAAACAGGTAATCCTAAATCCAAAAATAGTTATACATTAGTTAAATAAAAAGTTGTATCTGTTAGTTTTAATCCTAACATCAACCAACAATTGTATATGTTTTACAGTAATATTATATTTAGCATTTTTACTAAGTTAGCAGAGATGAATAAATACTGTAACAGCAGTTCTCTCATTGGTCACGTAAACATTATTAACTAATTAAAATTACACTTTTAAAATGAGAATTTATTAATGTACAATTTCTACTATCGTAATGTAATAAATAACAGTAAAATATAATATAATATAATATAATATAATATAATATAATATAAATGACTGTAAAACCAATAGTTGATAAGTCAACATATAAAATAACTTCTAAACAGCTGAAAAACGATACATCCCTTAATAAAAAAAATATTAGAATAATAATTACATCACCATTTATACTTTCTCATTTGTTTTTTCCTCTGTTGAACACAAATGAAGATATTTTGAAAAATGCTGGTTGCTGGCACCCATTGACTTTACAATTACCACAGCAGTCAATGCCTCCCAGCAACTCCCATTTTTCAAAATATCTTCTTTTGTGTTCACCAGAAATAGGTTTTGAACAAGTAAAAGTTAAGTAAATGATGGCAGATTATGACTATTCAGTTTAAAATGACACCTTTAAAGGTGCCATCTACTTAGTAGGTCTATAGATTCTGGAAATCTCCAGAAACAGTTTTTTAAGCTCATTTATTACTCCATAAAATACCCCTAGAATCAGGTCCATGATTGACCATATATGGTTCGTGTTGTGAATATTAATAAGCACACATGATATACGTTGAACACAGACGAATATAAACTCAATCACAATAACGTTAACCTGTGGATAAAGTTCAATACAATTGAACTTGACAAAAGAGAGAGATAGAGATGTATTGTGTTGTATTTTGAACAGCACAGTCAAAGAAAACACAGCCAGAAATTAATAGTTAACAGTTAACAGTTGAGCTGAGGGATTTGACAAGATTCAGCAGTCTACATGTGTTTGTTGAAACGTATGCATCAAATTTCACAATTAGCATGATAAAATAACTAAATATGTAACTAAACATACCGTATGCCTCTTCAGAGTGGAGCTGAATAAATGTAGAATCTGTAAGTCCTGCATTTTGCATCCTGAGGCGAGTTTGTCTTATGCTGTAGTAATGCACAGTAAACAATTTGGGGCTCACGTTTTCAAAAGAAAAAGTCCCACATACATAATAAGTGAAATATACGCTTAAAATAACTAAAGGAAGAAAATGATCACTGTTGTGTCACTTGAAACCGTTAACTTATCAAATGCAGCCTGTGGCGTGCAGATGAATGATTTCAGAGCTTTTTGATCATCTCAGAGCTGTATATGAGCTACTTGTCAGGTCCGGATGAATGACCTAAAGTAGGCATACATGCAAATGAGGAGGACATGGTCCATGAGTCTCGTCACATTTTGTGTTGTTATTTAATTGGCCCATTGTTCACCGGGGTTTTACACTCTTGGAATTTACATGAGAACGAGGAAACTGGTGTCTGAGGCTCATAGTATGCCCATTTTCATACTGATCTCTCATTATTCTACCATGCCTTGGTATACCCAGATTGTGATTATAGGTCACCTTTAACAAACTTTTGTTAATAATGAAAAATCGCTCAACTAAATCTCTAACCACCCTTTCTTTCTTTGTTTTCCAGGCCACTCCTAACGGTCCAGCGTGCTGTTGGTGGCTGCTGGCTGTTCTTCCTGTCGATCCACGATACCAGCTCTCTGTCCTCTCCATGACCACACTAAAAGAGCGACTAGTGAAGATCCAGCACATCCTCACGTACCTGCAGAACCTGCCCAGCAAATAGAGCTTCCACACAGACGACACACCAGCTCATGCTAGCCAAGACGAGACAAAAGAACTAGCAGAAACTCCACCCGAAAGACCAGCACACATGTAACTCATGCGGAGAAACGGAAGCAAGAAAGGAAAGTGTGTGTCATTTGGTTCTTCATGCAGACCTCATTTTTGAACACTCAGTCCTGTAGTATTTATTGTCCGTTCTCATTTGATTTGATTTGATTTTTAAATGACCTACGTTTCTGTCTGATGCCCGTAGCCTCCATACAGTGCTTTGAGGGCACAAATGTTGTCGGAGAGCATTCCTCATTTTTATTTGTGTGTTTGTGTGTGTGTGTGTGTGAAAAGATAGAGAACAAGATAATTTAAAGGTGGATTTTTAGACACCAATTCTGAAGACAAGACCATTTCGATGTGTTTTCTTCTAACAGCTATCCAGCATTCGGCTGAGCTTCTGTCTTGACCAGTCAATCACGCACAAGAGGTCGTTTTTTAAGACGCACTTGCATTCGTTTGTGACACTTTTGCAGTAATGGACACTAGTGAAACATGCAAGGCCTTTGCCATGGTGTTTATTTGTGCCGGGGAAATGAAATACTTCCAGAACTCTCAGTAGTTAAACACATATCATTGATATTTGCGGTGGGTAAACAACCCGTCACCATGTTGCAAGTGTCTCTTTTTAGTTACACGCTGCACTCTGATGCATGCATAGGTCATTTCGAGACATTGATGTCATTTTTATAACAGTAGAAACAACATTGCTAAGGGAAACTTGCAATATTTTGACTGACGTAGACTATCAGTGACTGCGACCGGCACCACACTGCGAGGAGACGCAGGAAGCATTCTGCAGTTTTGATGGTGATGGATGCTAATGCTAACTCATACCCGTGTGGTGCTTGCTGTGTGCAGACCTACTAACTTTTGCCTTATAACGGCTTGTTGCATTCTGCTCTTATGGTATAATGCATCGGCTTGTTTTTGTTTAGTTTTTCATTCCTGTTGCCGGAGGAATAATTCTGTGGTTTAATTTGTCATTCGCCTCTTGGCCAAAATCTTTTCAAGTGTGTAAAAAAAAATGTTAAATAATGGCTTTGTTGTATGTAAATCGTTTTGTTTCGAAAGTAATTTTTTACGGCTCTGCTTAAATATTTAAGTTGTCAACTTTCAAATAAAATGCACATCTTTTTTCATTAAATCTGTGTTTAATTTATTATTATTATTATTATACCATAATTTTATAAACTGTTTCCAATTTAGGTTTCTTTTTGTTATTATTTTTAGACCTTTTCAAATAAATAAAGGCACATTATTCCCATTGTATCTATGTTGTTGTAATTATTTTTTATGCATATATTCATTTTTACTCACACTATTCATTTATATATAGATATATGTAGACCAGGGGTGCCCAAACTTTTTCGTATAAAGAGCCAAATATCATTGAGAGCCGTGGGGTGAAGGCAAATATACCAAACTATATTACATTAAAGTTGCCATGTGCAATTTCCAAAAAATGTTCATCATATTCATTCATTCATTCATTTTCTTGTCGGCTTAGTCCCTTTATTAATCCGGGGTTGCCACAGCGGAATGAACCACCAACTTATCCAGCACGTTTTTACGCAGCGGATGCCCTTCCAGCCGCAACCCATCTCTGGGAAACACACACACACTGGACAATTTAGCCGACCCAATTCACCTGTACGCATGTCTTTGGACTGTGGGGGAAACTGGAGCATCTGGAGGAAACCCACGCAAACGCAGGGAGAACATGCAAACTCCTCACAGAAACGCCATCTAAGCCGAGGTTTGAACCAGCGACCTTCTTGCTGTGAGGCGACAGCACTACCTACTGCGCCACTACGTCGCCCCATGTTCATATTTTAAAATATAAAATAAATCGAAAACATATCTTTAAAACAAATAAATGAATGCATTACAGCTTTTTTATAATAACATATTGCAATGAAAAACATAAAGCAATCACATTTATAACACAGCGGAGTTCAATGCTGGCCACACTAGTCAAGCAGAATCTGCCTCTGACTTGGTTTGCTCACCAAAGTCTCTGCATTGTCGGGTGACAACATTTAAACAAAGTCTGATTCATCTACACCATTTAATCTGAGTTAGCCTTTAACAATAAAACAAACAAACAAAGGGTTACATTTCATTTGAATTGACCATCTCTAAACCATAACCATCATTCTCCTTAGATTCTCAACCATCTTTCTCCTTAGATAGGATGGCAGGCCAAATCAAAGCCATGCGCTAACTTAACCCTGGTTTGGGCATCTTTGATTTAGACCATTTTGAGGGATGTAAACAAAAACAATGGTCCGAACGTCTTTGCTGTTTTCCATTTTTAATTTCTAGAGCTAATCCAAAAAGAGCCACATATTGATGTTATCATAGCTGTTTTATTAAGTTATGATTAAATTGCCTCTTGCTATACAGTTAATAATAATAATACATTTGATTTGTATAGCACTTTTCCTATAGATGCAAATCAAAGCGCTTCACGAACAACAATCAAACACGCATTGTAAAATAAGCCAAATAAACAAATGTAAAGACAAATAAGGCAAAATAAAAAACAAATACAGTTGAAGTCAGAATTATTAGCGCCACTGTTAATTTTTCCACAAATTTCTGTTAAACGGAGAGAAGATTTCTTCAACACATTTCTAAACATAATAGTTTAATAACTAATATCTAATAACTGATTTATTTTATCTTTGCCATGATGACAGTAAATAATATTTTACTAGATTTTTTCAAGACACTTCTATACAGCTTAAACTGACATTTAAAGGCTTAACTAGGTTAACTATGCAGGTTAGGGCAATTAGGAATTAGGTTTGTTCTGTAGACAATCGCAAAAATTCGGCTATTCATTTTATTTTAAAACTTAATATTACAGGTTTTCTCAGTGGCTTTGGTGCATTTCTCACAACACTACTTACATTTGCACAACAGTTAAAGCGTTTCTATATAATAAACTACTATTATTATTAATGGTAACAGTAATATAAGCAATAATGACTGGAGAAATAATTTTATTTGAAACTATACAATAAGAAAACAGTTATTTACAATTTTAATAAATATTTAACTTTTTTTTGCATTTAATAAATGCCAGAATGAACAGAATAATTTTCTTTAAAAAAATAATAAAACCCAAACTTTTGAGCATATTGTGTGTGTAGACACAGACAGACAGACGTCGGTTCTCTCTCAGTGTTGTCAGTTCACTCGATGTTGCTTTTTGTACTTGACCAAGGTGAGTTCCATAGCGACGGTACGAGTGGAGCCACGCCAAACTCAGGAAGTCCGCTTCGTAAAGCTTCACTCGGGCCCGTCTGTGCTGTTCTTCACGGTTTGCGTACCTAAACGCAATATCGCGAAGAATATTACGTATTTGTTGCTCGTTTGTTTGCTGGTCAAACAAAATAAAATATATGCTTTCGAAACACCTGAAGTGTGTTTTATTTGTTTTATGTGCACAGTATATTGTTTTCAAAATATTTCCAGAGGGTGGCTTAACGGTGGCTTTTTTAAATAATTATTTAAATCAACTCATTTGTTTTCTTTGCATGGTGACAGTGCATAACATGTATTTTTACTTGTTTTGCAAGATACTAGTATTCAGTTTAAAGTGCAAATTAACTGGTTTAACTAGGTTAATTAAGCAAGTCATATAAAAAACAATTCTTAAAGGGGCTAATAATGTTGACCCAGGCCAGTGGTCAAAACAAGCTTTTATTCCAGCTAAACTAAAAGAAACGAGACTTTGACCAGCCAGAGGGAAAAATGCACTTGGGGTATTTTGGAAAATAGTAAATAATAATAATAATAATAATTAAATTACAGGAGGGGTTAATAACAATGACAGTTGTCTGAATTAGGTGATAAAGAATGATGGAAATATGAAGAGTTTATTTGATGACTCAATTTGTAGATGATCATTTTCTGATGTTTTTGCTGGGAAGAAGAGTACAGCAGCGGGTTTAAACTATACAACTGAGTTATTTGAGTAATTTTAAATTAACATTTAATAAATAGCTGTCTACCTAATAACAACAATGACAATAGTATGACCTTGTCATTTTTATAAGATACAAACTTTATTTTGTTCAAAATAAGATTACAAATACTTTACTGCCACCTAGAGGAATATAACAAAACCAGAAAGGTCATGGACTAAACAGACCATAAATAAAACCTTAAAATAAACAAAAATATGCAATATCCTACATGCATCGTAAAACTGGGAGGTTTTCTGTAAAATAAAACCACATTAGTCATTCTACATCAATGTATGTGACCAGGGCACTCGTCTGAATGTTTAAATTGGTTTAGATATTGTCGTTACTCACACCATCCGCTAGGCTGCAGTAGCGTCGCTTTATGCAACAGCTGTTTTATAACTAGCAGTTCTGTTGTCCTGGGGCCTGTTTCAGAAAGGAGGTTAACTGAAAACTCAGAGTATTTTAACCCTGAAATGAGAGAAACTCTGGGTTTTCCGTTTCAAAATGGCAGGTTTGTTAAACTCGAGAAAGCAGGGTAAGTCAAGCCTGTTTCTGAAAGAAAGGTAACTTTAACTCAGAGTCAGTTACTGTGGTAACTTACTCTGTGAATCTAACCTGGTCAGAAGCAGGTTTTATTCTCTAAACTCAGAGTTTCTGTCGGTCTCCTCCCCTTTTTTAAAGATGAAGCGGCATTTCTCGCCTTAGCCTTACATTTCCACACACCTATTTTTATGCTCATTTTGGATACGTGCATAAAAACGATTGATAGAAATGTCATGATGCACATAACTTTTTAAAATATGCATAAAAAAACGCGCATAACTGAGTAGGATAAACTTTTATTCGATAGAAAATGTGCACATAAACTACGATGGAAACACTTTTACTAAACAAATTACAGTATGTACATTAAAAAAAAGATCATGATCATATGATAATGAAAATGTGTGTAAATGGACAAACCAGCAAGCTGAGCACACTGTAACATGTCTTAAATATTGTTTTAGTCATTCTAAAATGCCTTTACTGTTTCAGTATTAGTGTATATTATTAATTACCTCCGAACGTCTGGTGCGTGTCAAGAGTCTTCGCGTCTCATGGCTTCAGACGCCGCCACGTGTTCATTGTGTTTCAGCATTGTCTTCTGACATCGAGGCACAAGTACATTAATCAGGCTAAATAAAGAATTAATTGATGCAGCTTCTTCTACCACAGTAAATTCTGTTTTTACTGTTGATATTTGGTGCCAGTTTAATCAGTAAGTGACGATTTTTTTCTCTTTGACTCGTTGGATGGAATTTTATTCGCATCTTTTATGCAATATTCCAGTTTTGCACATAAATTTATGTAATATATTTGGATGGAAACATAGCTATTGCCTACATTTTAGTCACACACAGAAGAACTGTACTAGAATGGCTTATCCTTTTTTAATAAATAATTAAATTAAATTCACCTTCGACATGCACTGTAACTAGATTAATGGGATTATTATTCTTTCTAAAAATATTTTTAGTACTGCTTACCTTCTAAATGTTATATTAACCTCTATCACTTGATCAATAAAAAAGGCAGACACACAAGTGCACTGTTAAATCATTTAAAACTAATAAATGTATAAAAAAGTTTAGAAAAAAATATAAACGTCACAAATTACATTACTTATTTTATTATACTTAAATATTTAAATACTTAAAGTGAAGTTAGGCATTAACTTGAGCAGCTGTTTTCCCACGCTAACTGTCTCTTCTTCACTGATGGTTGTTTCTTTTCAAATATATACACACACACTCATATTTGCTATAACTTTGCATGAGAACATCAAGTTCAGCTGGAGAAAGAAATGGTGATCTCTTTTATAAGATATTGCCATAGTCACTCGTAATGTCTGCGCTCCATTGATAATGCCTTTTTAAAGTCACGGTGTGCGCGCTTAACTCTGAGTTGGTCTACTCAAAGTTGATTGACCCAACTCAGATCAGCTATTCTGAAACCGAAAACTTTGAGTTTTTAATCTCTCGGTAAATCAACTCAGAGTTCAAATTTAAACTCTGAGTTGTTTGAACCTCCTTACTGAAACAGGCCCCAGGTTAAGTGAAAACTCAGAGTAGTTTAACCCTGAAATGAGAGAAACTCTGGGTTTTCCGTTTCAAAATGGCAGGTTTGTTAAACTCGAGAAAGCAGGGTAAGTCAAGCCTGTTTCTGAAAGAGAGGTAACTTTAACTCAGAGTCAGTTACCTTGGTAACTTACTCTGTGAATCTAACCTGGTCCGAAGCAGGTTTTATTCTCTAAACTCTGAGTTTCTGTCTGTCTCCTCCCCTTTTTAAAGATGAAGCGGTATTTCTCGCCTTAGCCTTACATTTCCACACACCTATTTTAGAGCTCATTTTGGAGATGTGCATAAAAAAGATTGATGGAAACGTCATGATTCACATAACTTTTGAAAATACGTATAATATAACATGTGCATAACTGAGTAGGTTAAACTTTTATTTGATAAGATGCACATAAACTACGAAGTGCACTTAACAAATTACAGTATGTACATTAAAAAATGGTTTGTTAGATATGATGATGAAAATGTGTGTGAAAGGACAAACCAGCAGACTGAGCACACTGCAGAACATCTTTAATGCTGTTTTAGTCATTCTAAAATGCCTTTACTGTTTCAGTATTAGTGTATATTATTAATTACCTCCTAGCGTCTGGAGCGTGTCAAGATCTCCGCGTCTGGCTTCAAACGCCCCCACGTGTTCATTGTGTGTCAATTGTCTTCTGAGACGCAAGTACATTAATTAAATAAAAAATCATTGATGCAGCTTCTTCTACCGCAGTAATTCTGTTTTTACTGTTGATATTTGGCGCAAGTTAATCAGGAAGTGACGATTGTGTTCTCTTCGACTCTTTGGATAAAAACGCTGCTTTATTTTTAGGCGTTATTCCAGTTTTGCACAAATTTATGTAATAGCCTATATTTTGATGGAAACATAGCTATTGCCTACATTTTTGTCACGCACAGAACAAAGTCACGTACGAGGCTTGTCCTTTTTTTCATAAATAATTAGCTTAACCTTCGACATGCACTGTTACTAGATTAATGGGATTATTATTCTGTCTAAATTATTTTATTACTGCTTACCTTCTTAATGTTATATCAACCTCTATCACTTGATCAATAAAAAGGCAGACACATAACAAGTGCACTGTTAAATCTATTAAAACTGATAAAAGTGTATAAAAGTTTAGAAAAAAACTATAAACGTCACACATTACTTTACTTATTTTATTATACTTAAAATGTTTAAATACTTAAAATTAAAAATTACGCATTAACTTGGGCAGCTGTTTTCCCACGCTGTCTCTTCTTCACTGATGGTTGCTTCATTTTAAATATATACACTCATATTTGCTATAACTTTGCATGAGCACATCAAGTTCAGCTGGAGAAAGAAATGCAGAAATGCTCTCTTTTTTTAAGATGTTGCCATAGTAACTCGTAATGTCTGCGCTCCATTGATAATGCCTTTTTATAGTCACGGTGCGCGCGCTTAACTCTGAGTTGGTCTACTCAAAGTTGATTGACCCAGCTCAGATCAGCTGTTCTGAAACCGAAAACTCAGAGTTTTTAATCTCTCGGTAAATCAACTCAGAGTTCAAGTTTAAACTCCGAGTTGTTTGAACCTCCTTACTGAAACAGGCCCCTGTTCTGCTTATTAGATAAACAACCATCCTGGATGAAACAACTAGATTCTAGAACATTCTTTTAGACTTTTATTGAATTCAGATATATGCTTTTTACATTTCTACATGAATCTCAGAAGTTTATTTACAACGTACTTAACATCTTGACTGACAGACAGGCCTATGATGATCCGCCACTGAGCTCTCAGGAATAGAGACACACCCAGCTATCGGAGAGACAACATCATAACGAACTCTGAAAGAAAACAGAGACAAGTGTGTTATTATTATCTCCGTTCAAAACTAACTCAGTCGACTAGTTTATCACCAAGTATTAGATCCCATGTGATTGAAAGTTTAAGGCCTTTGTCCACAAAAATGTCACTTGAGGGATTCCGTACAAACCCATGTACATAGTAAGTCGTTTGATAATGAAGCTTGAAGATTCAGAAGTTAAAATACCTCTTTAAACATTAAAGGTAAACGAAGTTGACTTGTTTTTCGAACTTTCAGTCACCTAAAGTGGGCTACTTCATCAATGGCGACAATTGTTCCCAGAGTAAGGTAATTTCATACACGCCTTTACGGTTTATGCTTGTTAAATTGTGGCAAAGTATATTTCAGTTCATGTGTTATAGCCTATCGTATTTCAGTGTATGTTCCATATAATAATATACTTTAAAAATGAAGGTTTACTACTGTATTTGCCATTAATCGTTAACCCATGTAAGTGTGTTTTCGGGGTATCTGCAGGGTCTTAAAAAGTCTTACATTTCACAAACTAAATTAGCCCTTAAACAGTATTAAATTCGTTAAAATATTGTTTTGTAGGTCTTAAATCATTTTAAGCAGGTTTAATTTTGCTATGTCACTGTAACACTAGTCCAGTCACTTAACATTCCATCTCAATAAAAGTTTTAACAAAAGATAATTAGTTAATGTCACTTCCTTACAATAACATTTGTTTTGAATTGTTATTTAAATGCTTTAACTGGGCCATTAGAAAAATTCCATAGCATTTAGTCTTGTGTAAGTCTTAAATTTTATTTATAATGGTGTTAAAAAGGTTCTAAATTTGACTTGATGAAACCCTGGTTTTACAGATGTGCTCTCAACTTTGCTAGTAGAATGTTTTCATCAGTTACTATTGGCTGAACTGTGCCTGATTTTCCATCACAACTAATGAAAGCACCTGTAAATCTGATCAAGTGCCATACTAAAAATGAAATTACAATATTTTTATTTGCCATTTTAAATATTTTTATCATAACTTCATTGGGTAAAACAAATTATTAATTCAACAGTCAATGCTTTTTCATTGGTCTTTTATTTTTATAGCTGTATACACATTTTGTTTCTGAAAACATCAACTATTTTACATTCTCCTTTTGTCATTTTCTGCAATTTACACTCACCGGCCACTTTATTAGGTACTCACTAGTACCCTGTTGGACCCCTTTCTACCTTCAGCTGGTCTGGCACCAACAACCATCCCACATTCAAAGTTACTTAAATCACCTTTCTTCCCTATTCTGATCATTTGAACTGCAGCAGATCATCTTGATCCTGTCTACATGCCTAAATGCATTGAGTTGCTGCTATGTGATTGGCTGATTATAAATATGCGCTAATGTGTAGTTGGAAAGGTGTGCCTAATAAAATGGCCAGTGAGTGAATGTTATATAACCATAGTACTTTTTATGGGGTATGTGACCTTTGAAAAATCAACCAAACTAAGATATGGATATTTGGACAGGTCAAGGATAAAACAGTACAGCAGTAAAGCAGAGTTGACCTAGTTTCAAAAGTGAATCCCAATAGTAGAGATGTCATAAAGTGGACATGCGAGTTTGGTTGAATGTGAAGCAGATTGTAGTCAGTCCACCATTAGTACAAGATTGATTTCAGCCAGCACTGGTCTCAGAGTGTTCAAATGGGGACAACCCCATATTTAAACCTTTTTAAACCCTCAAGGCATCATAAATTATATATCCTCAGAAAAGCAGATCCCAAGAGCCACATTTACTTCAAGTGAAAGGAGGACTGCTGCTGCTGTATCGCTTTCCGGCCACTAGATGGCGCCCTAGAGTTATTTTTTTAAATAGCAGATTCAAAGAGAGTTCACTTAAAAGAGGTTTCCCACGCATGGAGTTTCTAGAATATCAAGTCATTTTAGAACGTCATTTCCAAACATTGAAAGTCAGAATTTTGGAGGTTTTTGTTTGTCGCTTTAAATATTAGTTTCCATATCTCAACATAAAATATTAAATGTATGTTTTATATTGAGGTGGCTCAGTGGTTAGCACTGTCATCTCCACACAAAGGTCGCTGATTCGAGTACTGGGTGGGCCAGTTGGCATTTCTGTGTGGAGTTTGCATGTTCTCTCCGTGTTCGTGTGGGTTTCCTCCAGGTGCTCTGGTTTCCCCCACAGTCTGAAGACATAGGTGAATTTGATGAGCTAAATTGGCTGTAGTGTAAAAGTGTGAATGAGAGAGTGTATGGGTGTTTCCCACTACTGGATTGTGGCTGGAAGGGATGTAAAGCATATGCTAGAATAGTTGATGGTTCATTTCGCTGCGGCTACCCCTGATAAATAAGGGACTAAGGTGAAGGAAAGTGAATGAATGTTTTATATTGCACTTTTTCCTGCCTATTAATATTGTTGGACTATTTTTCAACTCTCTTTTATTACTTTCATGCTCTCAACTGGCAATCCCATATGTCAAATGCTGTCAAAAGACTATACCTACAATATACATTTTAATACCATATCAATTTTAAGAGGTGTAGCTTCAAAATGATCACTTTAAAGACTGGGCGTTAAAACGTAGATGACAGAAAAGCTAAATGTAAAGTTTGTAAAATTACTATTGAGTTGTCAAATATGGGAGTGTGAGCTGAAATTAACTAATAGTGGCTATTAAACTTATACAAAATGATCTAAAATCAAAGAAAAAGTGCTCAGGGGTAGCTTAAATAATGTGTCGTTGATCTTTGGGTAAGGGATTCATTAGAATAAACAACTAAAATCAGTCCAAGGCAATCGAAAATGTGGAAAAAATATTAAAAAGCCTTTTTGACATGGCTAATTCAATAAAGGCTTTTAAATATTTTTCCACATTTTTCGAATGCCTTGGACTGATTTTTTAATGCAAAACGATATTCATGCTTAAAACATTTAAATATATGGAAATCACTCTGTCTCTTCTCTTCGTTAATTATATGTCATAGTAAATAAGCTTTTTAGTCAGTGAAAGTCAGGAAAAAGTCAGGGAAATTGATATGTGGCTTAGAATAGGAACCCTGTTTAAAAATGTAAATTTTTTATAACTTAAGATTTACTTGTTTCTTCCTTCGTTTGAACATAAATATATTTAGGAAAAAACTATATATATTAGGACTGCACAATATTGGAAAAATCTGAAATTGCGATATTTAGTTTTTCTGCGATACATATTGCAATATGAATACAGTTTCACTAGATGACTTGAACAGAGCTCTATTTGGAAAGAAGTTATTAATATAGATTGATAAAGATGTTCTATTCTTTCTTTCAGAGCAAATTTAAAATTTAAATTAACAATGTGTTATGGTTTTTAGAAACTAAAAAAAAAAAAAAAGTAACAAACGTAACAAATGATACTTTTTTTGTATAAATGCTTAAAACTCCTGAAATTCTCACACAGTCAAAAGGCTTAAAAAATAAAGATGCTAAACTTTTGCTCTGTTACATGTATGTCCAAACTTCTGCAATGGGACTATTGCACTTGTGCACATTGCGATATCGATGCTAAAACAAAATATTGTGCAGCCTTAATATGTATTACATATTATTACCATATGTATATTCACTCACTGGACACTTTATTAGGTACATCTTACTAGTACCCTATTGGATCCACTTTTGCCTTCTGAACTGCCTTAATCCTTCGTGGCATAAATTCAACAAGGTTCTGGAAATATTCCTTCCTTTCGGTCCATATTGACATGATAGCATCATGCAGTTGCTGCAGATTTGTCGGCTGCACATTCATGATGCTAATCTTCCGTTCCACCACATCTCAAAGGTGCTCTATTGGATTGAGATCTGGTGACTGTTGAGGCCATTTGAGTACAGTGTACATTCTCTGTATTCTCTGTAAACCCTAGAGATAGTTGTGCCTGAAAATCCCTGTAGATAAAGTCACTTAAATCCCCTTTCTTCCCCATTCTGATGCTCGGTTTGAACTGCAGCAGATCGTCTTGAAAATGTCTACATGCCTAAATGCATTGAGTTGCTGCCATGTGACTTGTAAATTAGTAATTTGCGTTAACGAACAGTCGGACAGGTGTACCTAATAAAGTGGCCAGTTAGTATAGTATGTATTATATATATATATATATATATATATATATATATATATACATATATATATATATACATATGTATATATATATATATTTTTTTTTTTTTTCCAGTTAGTATAGTATGTAATATATATATATATATATATATATATATATATATATATATATATATATATATATATATATATATATATATATATATATATATATATTTGTTTGTTTGTTAATTTTTTTTCTTTCTAACTAGGTTGATCAATGGCTACTGATTAAGCAGGCAAAATGTTACTCCTAAAAGTTTGGAACCACTCTGAAGGAAGTAAATTGTGAGTATAGTTTTATTTTTGGGGATCTATTAAATTGCTGCACCTCAGTTAACCTGATGTTTGCTTTGCTTGTTTGTTACATCACGAGTTTCACTCTTTCACTGCTCAGTGAACATCTTGATCTTTGATCTGCTTAGATCAATAGTCCAGAGAACAGCTTCTTCTCACCTGTAAACAGACACACACACACATCAGTACATATTCAGAAGCACGCTGCGTTCCTCACCATCGAAGTCCACATTTCCATCTCCGTTGAGGTCGATGTCTGTCAGAATTTCTTCCAGCTCTCCTTTTTTCAGCTTTTCCCCGAGCAGCGTCTTTGTGGACTCCTTTAGCTCCTCAAAGGTGATCCGTCCATCACCGTCACAGTCAAACTAGAGAGACACCGAGGACTTTTACTGAATCGCTAATATTATTTATGAGTTGTGAAAATATGCAATGTAATGCCAGTTTGATGTTTGCAGGCTTTTTGTTTTCTATTTAATGTCCACTTTAAAGTGAGCTTCCTTTGAAGTGAACTTTAGAGTGCACACGCACCTGTTTGAAAGCGCAGTGCAGCTCCCTTAGTCCCACCATATGAGCCGTTTCAGCCAGCATTCTGGGCCCCATTAATTCACAGAAATCATCAAAGTCCACGTGACCTCCCCCTAAACACACACACACACACATACACATTGATCTTCACTGCTATACAAACTTACTGTATTCTACCATTCACAATGTTTTAGATGGTAAGATGTATGCGCTTGTGCTTATTTAAGGCTGCATGCAATCAATTAAAAACACAGTATAAAAATTAATATTATGAAATCTTTTTACAGTTGTAATGTATTGAAAAGTTGGATTTTTTGTAGCATTTCTTAACATTTGTGACCATGTCTCTTTACTTATTTCTAGAACAGGGTTCGCACAGGTGCTGGAAATCCTGGAAATGCTTGATTTTTAATATAGTGTTTTCAGGTTAGAAAAGTGCTTGAGTTTTGGACAAAGTGCTTGAACCTGCTTGAATTGAAATTGCAGGGCTCGAAATTGTGACTGTTTTGGTTGTATATGCGCCTGAAATATTATCCATGCAAGGTCAAAATATGTTTAGGAACATTTGTGTGAGTGCATAAAATTGTTGCAGTGCGACCAGTTTTCACTGCAAAATGTTCAGAGCACACGCGACTAGGAGACATTCATGCAGAAAAACGGCAAACGAAGCACTCAGGAATAGTTTAAAACAGACATGTCTGCTCATTTTATAAATAATAGTTTATATATAATAGTTTAAAACAGACTGTAAGCTCATTTTTTGAGATATCAACTTTTGGTAGAATGAGACCAAACTTAAAAAGATACTTCATCCAATATATAAATTTTTTTAACCATTTTTGGGTGAACTATCGCAATAAATCTATGCTCCAAAGTATTCAATAATTTAAGTTGAAATGTCATATTGTGTTTGTAAAAATAGCACAATGGATTTAAATGTAAAAAAGTACATACAGCTTTACCATGGTTGTTAGGAAAAGCATACAAATGCACATTGAAAGTGCTTGAAAAGTGCTGAAATTTGAAGTTGGAAAAAGTATAAGAACCCTGCTAGAAGCTCTAAAAGCGTCTAGTTGGCTTTGGGAAATTCAACCTTTAAAAAAATGCTTTAATGTCACATGACCAGATCAGTTTGCATACATGTGACTGGGTATAAAACCTTAAAATTCAACCTAATATCAAAAGATGCTCAAATTTTGAGTGTTAGGGAGGTCTGGGGAATTAAATGTATATTCTCAAAATACAATAATAAAAAAAGCATTAAACGCACTGTAAAACAAAATGAGTAACATTGATGATAAAAACCGGCAGCTGTGGTTGCCAGAATTTGCAGTTTAAAATCTGGCTGAAACAATAAAAGAAATTTCTACTTCTAAAACTACCATAGTTCAATAATTATTGTTGTTAATTCACTAATGTTTTGAAGTACTAATAGGCATGTGCCCGTATAGGTTTCTGATGGTATGGTAAACACTTTCCCCCATTTAAAAGTATACGAGTGACATGTCTTGTGTATTCTAGAGTCTTTTAGTAGGCTATTTTGATGCAGCCATTGACTTTTCCAAACCGCAGTAAACCTTGAAACCGGTTATCATCCCATGCCTAAGTACTAATATCTAAACTTTGTTTCTTTGGTTCAAAAGCACAACTAAAAGCATGTGGTGATGAGTTTAATCATGATGAAGCGATTTTCATCACAAACAAATTTTCCACAAGCAGGAAAACATACGTAAAAGGTGCTCCGTGTCATTCACACACCATCATAATAACACACATGAAATAAAAGTAATTCAATAAAGATTAGTAACATTAGATGTAGCATAAAACTCTCATGTGCATAAATCATGAGGAAAAAACAAATAAACTATACAGTTTTATTGTCAACAACAACCAAAAAAGTCAAGTGTCATGCAGGGAATTCTGGGAAAGTTTAAATATTCACTGCATGTATTAAAAGAAACTTACTGTTAACCATGTTACAGAGTTTTACTGTAGCATTTTTATATTTAGCACCATTTTTTACAGTGCAGGTTAAATAATCAGTGTCACAAACTTTTGCTTCTTAATATTTTGTAGAAACATGTATTTGTGGTGTATTTGAAAGTTTTTAGAGGAAATATGAATCTTTTGTAACACCCTTTAAGTCATTTTAAAGTACATTTAGCTTTAATGTCATCTTTGATTTGATTTAATGCATCCCTGCTTAATGAAATGTCATTTATTAAAGACAAAAATTCAATCTTACTGACCCCAGACGTTTTGAATGGCAATGTAAGTTGTAGAATCTGCTTATAAATATGCACAGACACGCACTCACATTTCATTTTTATCTGCTGAATGATCTCAATCAGTTCCATCTCTGTTGGCATGTATCCCATAGTTCTCATGCAGTCTGCCACATCTTTGTAGTGCAAATACCCGTCCTGGTCATAGTCGAACTCTTTAAACGCTTCAAGCAGCTCTGAAAGGGAAAATATAATCACTTTTTATCACATCGCCAACTCTGTTCCCCCCAAATTGCTGTATACTGCTTTATGTAATAGGCTTCATTTTAGAAAATGATAGTTATGCATGTGCTCCACTAGTAGTGTTACTTGTTAAACCATAGTAAAATGCTAAAGTTTGGTGGTCATATCTAGCATACATTAAAAATATAATGAATGCTCTACACCAGAGGTGTCCAAACTCAGTCCTGGAGGGCTGGTATCCTGCATAGTTTAGCTCCAACTTTCTTTAACACACCTCTCTGGATGTTTCTAGTATACATGGAAAGAGCTTGGTTAGCTGGTTCAGGTCTGTTTAAATGGGGTTGGAACTAAAATAAGCAGGACACTGGCCCTCCAGGGCTGAGTTTGGACACCCCAGCATTAGACCAATAGTATTTATTATCATCTGTCAATGCTTCAAATTTCTCTGAAATATAAATGGGATACTAAAATTCTATACTTTGACATTGTCATTCAGTGTAATAATGGGCAACAGAGATGTGTCACCATAGACTGTGTAACAGAGTTTTAAACGTTAAACAAAGAAACTTTGAGCTTGGCATAGATTCAAAAAGGTACTGGAAATATTCCTCTGAGATTTTGGTCCAAATTGAGATGATGGCATCATGTAGTTTTTGCATATTTGTTGCGTGCACGTCCATGATGTGAATCTTTGATCGGATAGCAGTTCCAGCCAATGAAATTAGCAACTGTCTGAGTGTATTTGCATACGGCTGACGCTTCTGTTGGTGCTTGAAAAGTTAAGAAATTCCCAACTTCTGCAGTGACAACACCACTGAAGCAACGCCTAAGAACCCTGAATTTAGTTCGGCAATGCTTGACATCACCCATTCAAAGTGAATGGGAAGTATTGACGCTGATGCCCCATGTGAAAGGTTTTTTGACCATAAAAGAAGTGTAAATAGAGTAAATTTTCATATTTGGATGAACTTTCCCTTTAAAGACATTTTTGTGGAATTGTCGATGTTAATGCAAACAGCTTACATTTTGGTAAGAGAACTATTTTAATATTTCACCCTCATTTCTTATCTAAAATCAATTTTACCTTATAGCCAAGCATAAAGATGCAAATGTTTACATTTGATAGACATTAAAACTGCTGTATGTAATCGCATTACCATTTAAGCAAAAAGTTACATATTCTGTGTTAACAAGTCTTTATTTCTTTGTTTTAAAATAGTGGCACATTTTCGGGGGGAGTCTGTGGAGTATAATAATGCTTTTATCTGTTTTCTGCTGGCCAAAATAATTAAAGTCATGTAGTTATAGATATGTAGGTGTGTTTGAATACGGTTTCATTTTCACCCGCAATTTGAAATTTTATTTGAATTATTACAGTATTCACTTCAGTAACAAGTAATGGTTTCTTAGTACAGTTGAAGTCAGAATTATTAGTCCCCCTTTGAATATTTTTTTTCTTTTTTTAAATATTTCCTAAATGAAGTTTAACACAGCAAGCAAATTTTCACAGTGTGTCTGATAATCTTTTTTCTTCTGGAGAAAGTATTATTTGTTTTATTTCAGCTAGAATAAAAGCAGTAAAAAAAAAAAAAACATTTTAGAGACAAAATTATTAGCCCCTTTAAGCTAATAATTTTTTCAATAGTCTACAGAATAAACCATCGTTATACAATGACTTGCCTAATTACCCTAACCTGCTAAGTTAACCTGATTAACCTAGTTAAGCATTTAAATATCACTTTAAGCTGTATAGAAGTCTCTTGAAAATATCTGGTAAAATATTGTGTACTGCCATTATGGCAAAGATAAAAGAAATCAGTAATTAGAAATGAGTTATTAAAACAATTATGTTTAGAAATGTGTTGAAAAAAATATTTTCTGTTAAACAGAAATTGGGGAAAAAATAAACAGTGGGCTAATAATTCAGGGGGGCTAATAATTCTGACTTCAACTGTATATAAAATGCCTTTTATAACTTTAATTTGATATAGACCCAAAACAAGTCTTTGTCATATACCGTGTTTAGCATATACGAGTACACCCTTCACAAATCTCTTTTAAGGTAGTATTTCTATAAGATGCTTTACATTATTGTATTTGTCCATATACGTCACACTGTAAAAAAACACTGGGTTCCACAATATCGATTTTTGTTGGAGACACATGAGAAGTTAACTTACTAGTTTTTACAAGTTTTAGTAGGTACATTAAATAGTTGTCCCAAAAACCCTCAGGAATTGTGTTGTCATTTTAATGAAGTAGTTTGAACAAACATAATATATATAGATATGGAGCTAATCTAGCAAAATAAAATATTTAATAACTGTCTAAAAAAAAAGTACAGCCAAATTTAATGTGTGTAACAAATGAGATATTTTTTGTTTTTCTTCTGTTGCGCTCAACAAACAACCAAATGAACAGAGAAGGGTCTCATGACCTTAGGGTTAACTTCACACCTTTCTCCAAATTTCAGGAGGTAAAATATTGACACTTAAGCATGACCAAATAACCAGAGAAGGGTCTCCGGACCTTAAGGTTACTTTTCTCCAAATTTCAGGAGGTAGAATATTGACTCTAGATAATCATGCTGACAATACAAACCTCAAATTAGTGCTTTGCAATCAGAAATAATGTGCAACTAGCTGAGAGAGGAGGTGGGCCTGATCAACTCACACTTCTCTCTTACCTATTAGGCCAACCTTTGGCCAGCACCCAAATTTTGACTATAAAGATGAGGGTTTCTTGCTGAAACATTGGAAGCTCAGCCGTGGGATAAGTGCACATCGCCCGGCATTCTCGGACACACGTGTTGGTTTTCCTATGTGACTGCAACGGGCTCCCCAGTCTTTGAAGAGGAAAATGATGGCACATCTCTGAGGTTGTATATACTTGTATCAAATTGCTTGAAGTTTTCATTATCTATCTTTTATTCATGTAACCTCATCTTTATTTCGCATTATAAGCCTTTTATGCAATTTTGTTGTATTTCGATTAATGATGTTCATGAGTATGATTCATGATTATTGAATATTATTGTGATAATTGATATCAGCTGTGTGTACCAGCAATAAACAGTTGTATTGCTTGATTAGTATGGTGTATGGACCATTATTGGTGCCTTCTCTTGTCGATTAGCACCACACTTGTCTCACTTGCATAAACACATACCATACTAAAACCTTTTTGGTATGCTGAAACATTTTACATACTAAAATTTGGGGCATACTAAAACAATGTGAAAATAAAATAGAAAAATATTATATCATTAAAAAAAAAAAAACTGAAACACTCAAAAGAAACAAAAAATATATAAAATTTAGTTCATGTCTTTTTTTTATTGCAATATTTTACTTGAATTTAAATGTATAATTTTTTTTTTCTAAAGGTGCTAAGTGACTACAATGTTATTTTAATAAATATATCTGTTCAGTAAATCTGTTTTGGACATTTGCACCAAAATGTATCCGCTGAAAAATGGATAAAAATATTTTTCAAAATGAGTTGTACACATTTATGCTGAGCACTGTATATAGCGTCATAAATATATGTATTCTTATTGACCACTACACAAGCACATTTACTTTATGCCACAAACTGTACTGTACAGTTATATAATGCATATGACAGTGCAGCTGAAGCAGGTATAGCAGGACCATCAACACAGGCTGACTCACAGCTCTGGTATTATTAATGCAGCTTACTTCATCATCCGCTGTGCTCCGTTCACCAGTCATGACAACACCAATCCATCTTTAATCAAATTTATTTGTGTCAGATGTTATTGGATTTAGTCAGTTATTTATGCTGAATGCGTGTCGCATTTTGTATTGTGTCTGTCTAGGCACCGTGCACCGGCTCAGATATTAAATATGCATGTTCTGTACATACCATCCAGTTCCTCTGGCAGTAAATCTCTGTCCTGGTGAAAGCAAGAGAGAGAGAGAGAGAGAGAGGTATAAGGACAGAGAGTAACATGACAATAGGGAATAAAATGTGACAGAAAAAACAGCTAAATATGGAAATTATTACAGCACTAGAGCTGAACGTCCATCGAGACGTCGTCCATTTTTAATCACTAATAACTGAGGTTTATGTTTGCACGCTTATCAAAGCTGCTCAGTAGCACAATGACGCATAGAGTGGAGTGGGGGAGATTGTATAATTGGATTACACCATAACATGCCCTACCATGCCTCACGCCAGCGCTTATACAAACAAAGAAAGGGGGAGAGATGCAGGGAGGAAAAAATGATTAAATCATTTTGCAAACATAAACTGCCTATATAGTTAAGGGGCATGCACAGAACCAATACAAAGAGTTGTGGAGTAACAGCTTATAAATATTATTGAGCGATTTTATTATTAAACATTGCTCCATACCAAAAATTGGTATTCTTATAAACAGTTGCGCATATTTGGATTATTAACAATTTATGTTAGCACATTTACAAAAATGGCATAAGTTATAAATTCCAATTTGCATATAATTATATTAAACAGAAGTCATTAGGTAACAATAGTAAGTTGATTTGGACAAACGCGTCCAAATGACTAAACGTAAGTGTAATGTTGCTTTTTTATTCAAACCTGGCATGCAACTTTATTTTTAATTTAAGATTTTTTAGATGATGTTATACAAAATCATTTACTAAAGCCTATGGTACTGTTCACATGGTATATTTAATTTAAGTGAATAGAATGTACTATATTTAATATAAAACACTCATCGACCACTTTATTAGGTACACCTTACTAGTACCGGGTTGGACCTCCTTTTGCCTTCAGAACTGCCTTAATCATTCGTGACATAGATTCAACAAGGTGCTGGAAATATTCCTCAGAGATTTTGGTCAATACTGACATGATAGCATTATGCAGTTGCTGCTGATTTGTCAGCTGCTCGTTCATGATACAAATCTCATTGCACCACATCCCAAAGGTGCTCTATTGGGTTGAAATCTGGTGACTGTAAAGGCCATTTGAGTCTAGTGAACTTATTGTCTTGTTCAAGAAACCAGTCTGAGATGATTCACACTTCATGGTGCGTTATCCTGCTGGAAGTAGCCATCAGAAAATGAGTACACTGTGGCTAGCAACAATACTTAGGTAGGCTGTGGCGTTGACACGATGCTCAATTGGTACTAATGAGCCCAAAGTGTGCCAAGAAAATATCCCCCACACCATTACAGCACCACCACCAGCCTGACCCATTGATACAAGGTAGGATGGATCCATGCTTTCATGTTGTTAACGCCAAATTCTGACCCTACCATCTGAATGTCCCAGCAGAAATCCAGACTCATCCAGGCAACATTTTTCCAATCTTCTAGTTTAATTTTGTTGGACAACCTGTGTGAATCGCAGCCCCGATTTCCTGTTCTTATCTAACAGGAGTGGCACCCCGTGTGGTCTTCTGCTGCTGTAGCCCATTCGCTTCAAGGTTTAATGTGTTGTGTGTTCAGAGATGCTCTTCTGCATACTTTGGTTGTAACAAGTGGTTATTTGAGTTACTGTTGGCTTTCTATCTGCTCCAACCAGTCTGGCCATTTTCCTCTGACCCCTGGCAGATCATATGACATCATGTACCTAATAAAGTGGCCGGTGAGTGTATATATAATACAATTTTACATTTCATACCATATATATATATATGTATATATTGTTCAAAATGAGTTATACTCCAAAACGGCAAACAAACCAAAATCCCAAAATGAAATTTTGTGTTAATTGTGTATTTATTAGAAATTGCGTTTATTTTACTGAAACTTCACTGAGTGTAACATTGCAGTAAAGTTGGAAATGTTAATAAACCAAAAATTAAATTCCTGTCAAGAATGACTGAACCGCTCCAGAGGGTTAAAGTTGAAGTGTGCAATTTTTGAGCCTCCAGCTTTATGAAATGAAATTGCATAAATTATGCTTCCATACACTTTCCCGTCTTCCTCCGGCCATCAAACTGTCTAACTGCAAACTCAAGCTGTTGGTTGAGCCAGTTTTTCTGTCAAGTCTGAATCTTTAATCGGAGAGATATTTTCAATCCACCATAAAACAAGAATTGCTTCTACAAATGATTTTTTTTTACATAAAAACAGCAACTTCAGTTTCACCTGAATACATTTTTCTTGTGCTCAACCAGCTATAGATAAACTTGTAATGATGCATGGATATGTACTAAAAGCTCTACTTATAGATTTGTAGGGCTGATCTGACAAAGAAACTGTTGTTTTCATTGCCCATGGGCATTGGCATCCTTCAGATATTTCATTCACAGCTCTCATTGCACATTTAACCTCCAAACTCCCCCCAAAACACTTTTTATTATTAAGAATAATACATTACTCATAGATTTGGCTGGCAGAGGTATAGCGGTTATACAACTTGGTGGATTGCTGCAGGCTATTTACCCTTGGATATATGCTAATAAGGTCCCCTGTCTATGTGTTTTATTTCAATCGTCCCTCCAATCCTGCCAAGCAGGAGCCAAGAAGCTTTAGGCTGTGCATATATTGGAATATTCCCCATTTTGTGTTGGAGCACCTTTGCTTTGTTTGTCTCCTAGACTCTATCCATTATCTCTCTCTTACTGTTCTTCCCTCTCTCTGTATTCTGGCTTCCTCTTGCTCGCTGGCTTCCTCTGATCTCCAGACGTACTCTTGAAAATATAATCAAGCGTCTCTGAGTTTAAACGAGCGTAATTCAATAAGTCGTGACAGATTCATAGCGTCAGTTTTAACAGCAGGAGCAAGAGCCTAGCTTAGGTCTGTTTCAGTATACCAAAATAATTTGACTTGGCACTTGTTGTTGACCTGATTGAGGAGGAGGGTGGAGTGTTGACAGGCAGCAATATTTTTCAGCAGACATATCACAGACTATAAATCCCCCAAAAGATTTTAAGCCAGTCCAGTCTGGTGGTTTTAAAGTGGTTTTCAGCACTTGTATACTAGTCAATCATATTCAAAGCCTGATAGAGAGACCATCTTATGCCAGTTAAGATCTTTTTTTTTACTACTATTATAATTATCATTATTATTATTATTATTATTATTATTATTACTATTATTATTATTATTATTCATTCATTCATTTTCTCATCAGCTTAGTCCCTTTATTTATCTGGGGTTGCCACAGTGTAATGAACTGCCAACTTATCCAGCACGTTTTTACTCAGCGGATGCCCTTCCAGCCGCAACCCATCTCTGGGAAACATCCACCCACATGCATTCACACACACACTCATACACTACGGACAATTTAGTCCACCCAATTCACCTGTACCGCATGACTGTGGGGGAAACCAGAGCACCCGGAGGAAACCCACGCAAGCGCAGGGAGAACATGCAAACTCCACACAGAAACGCCAACTGAGCCGAGGCTCGAACCAGCGACCTTCTTGCTGTGAGGCGACAGCACTACCTACTGCGCCACTGCTTCGCCATTATTATTATTATTATCAGCATTATCATTATCATCATCAGCATTATCATCATCATCATTATTATTATTATCATTATTATTACTACTACTACAACAGTAGTATACTTATACAGTAGCAGTGTGATGTTACCAGATAGTAATGCTATCTGATTGTGATGTTTGCAAAAACTTTTACAAATGTCTTTTTGAACATTGACCGTATTAAAATATTAAACTTGACTAATAAATAAAAAAATACAAATGTTATTTTGGAAATTAACAGAAGTAAATATATTTTACCCATTTTTTGAGATTTAATATCTTTTGTTTATCCATGTTTGTAAAGTTTCAGCTCAAAATACCAATCAGATTATTTATTATACCATTCCCAATATGGGAAATTTGATCTTTTAGGACACTGTTGTCGAGGTCTGCGGGAATAAATTTTCGAAAAAAGCGCGGGAGCGGTCGGTAACTTGTAATTTGAACGGGAGCGGGCAGTCTAACAATATCGCTCCTGACTCCTGAGTGAGTGAGCGAGCACATGTATGCATGTGTGTGAATGAGAGAGAGCGTGATGTTGTCTCTGTGTGTGTGTGTGTGTGTGTGTGTGTGTGTGTGTGTGTGTGTGTGTGTGTGTGTGTGTGTGTGTGTGTGTGTGTGTGTGTGTGTGTTTATACAGACAGCTTGTTATAGGCTCTTTTGGTTTTGTCGATTTGTTTATGTAGATAAACAGCACAGTGACAGAAAAGAAGGACGCAGAACTCTCATACTACAGTAAGAACAGAGAGCTTAACAGATCTATTAATCCCAGTTGCTTTGCGCAAGTCTTGTCTGACATGTTAATACACAGCTGTCCATCGATTCGATGGACGGGGGAACCGCACTCCTACGTCATGTTGTGGTGAGCCTTAGAATTGACAGGGTTTGGATCCTATTTTACCTTCAGAAAATTCAAAAAAGAGACTTATCGTGTTTATATCACCCCAAAATGACTGTGGACGCACCATACCTTCACACAGTTCAGTCCAAACAGCTTACAAAAGTTGATTTTCATCATAGATGCCCTTTAAAATGAAAAAGTCAAAAACAAATTGACACATTCCACCTTTATTTCTCAAAAGGCAAATTTAATTGGACGTTTCAACCTACAAGGTCTTCATCAGGTCTTCATCAACCTTGTAGGTTGAAACGTTCTTCAATTAAAAAAGTCTTTTGAGAGCTAAAGTGGCATAGTGCTGAGATTTTGGACTTTTTCTATTATGTTTGGCCTGATCGAGCACATCCCTTTAAGATTTTCCTAGATGTCAACACACTGATGTTTTTCCAAGTATTAAAATGACTCACTCAATGCATATAGATGTATATCTCTTGACAAAACCCTTAAGAAATCATCAACAGCTCTTCTCTAACTCACCTGTCCAAATAGAGAATTGAGATACTGCGTATACGCTGCAGCAATAGCTGAGTTCTGGCTGAATGTTCTGCTTCCGCGGCGTCCTTGGCTGTCAGATGAGCCCCTGTGGCCAGAGTTTTTTGAGTCTTTGGAGGAGTTGCGGAGCGCGGAGCGTGGAGGAGGAGTGTCTGATGAAGATGAAGGACCAGAGCTGCTGTTAGAAAGAGAGAAGATCAGTAGTGACCAAACCGCACATCATGTCACGATGCAAGTATTGATTCAGATGCGACCTGTACCTTTCTTTTGAAGACGTTCTACTCCTCTGAGACATACTAGTAGAAAACAAGAAGAAAGGGGAGATTTTTAGATGTTCAGAGAAGCTGTTGCTCAGCTCGTTCGCCTCTTCTTCCACACTGACATTGTAGTTACATAAGTTGTAATGTAACATTCATGAAGCCGTGCACAGTCTAGTGATTCTGACATGCGTAAAACACAACATCAGCTTTCCAGCTTAGTTACTTCAACCTGTTTTGCCCTTGAGTTCAGTGGTTGGGCAGAGGCCTGATTCCAGTTGAAAAAATGCCCATTGGGTTGCTTTCTAGCATAATAGTCAGAAAGGTCATAGACTGGAATTACAATGACCGTTCCAAATGGCAGCGTTTTGATGCGATTGTTTTCGCTTTGTAGAAAGGCTTCTGTTTGAAGAGAAGGACATGCGGCATAATCAAACGCATGCTAGCGGCTGATCCAAGAGGACGGACTGTTCCTCCAAACGCTGAATTAGATTACAATGGAGGCCGACAGGCGCACCAGACAGCCTATAAATTATAATCAACAGTTTAATATGCCCATGCAAACCAGTGAACCCCTGTCTGTCCTCTGCCCATCAAACAAGTCATTAGAAGCAAAATTGTCAATGGCTTCTTACAAGCAACAAGCATGAATTCAAAATGAGCTAATCATTCATGTGAAAACATTTATTTCGCATGCTCCTACGTTTTGATCCTACTCTGTTCTCATCTATTTATTGGTTTAAAGTAATGTCATACATGGTGGCACGGTGACTCAGGGGTTTGCACTGTCACCTCACAGCAAGAAAGTCGCTGGTTTGAGTCCCTGCATTTCTGTGTGGAGTGTACATGTTCTCCCTGTGTTCACGTGGATTTCCTCCGGGTGCTCCGGTTTCCCCCACAATCCGAAGACATTCGCTTTACTTGAATTGGATGAACTAAATTGGCTGTAGTGTATGAGTGTGTGTGAATTAGGCCTGTCACAATATTCAATATATCGACATATCGTGCAATACATGAATATGACTTCAATCATTTTTGGCGACACAATACATATCCTTCAACATGATTACCTAAAAATGAAATGTCTTCAAAAGTTTAGCTGATTGCACAGCTTCTGTCATCTCACCTAATCTTCATTGGAGACGATCAATCTTCAACTTCCTGAAAACTACTGACAGGTTTAGAAGAGATGTCCAAATGAGCTTGGTTCATCTGCTGTCCACTTCCAGAAAAGTGATGATTCAGGAATAAAGCCATTTTACCTGTACATTTACATGTCGTTTTTGTCCCTTGAATTTGTTTATGACTATTTATATGCTTTTGTGTAATTATATATATAAACACAGACATGCTTTGGTCTTAAAATGACAATAACAACACTTATCGCAATCATTTCTATGACAACAACAAGTATGACTTATTGTGACAGGCCTTGTGTGAATGAGTGTGTATGGTTCCAGTACTGGGTTGGAGCTGGAAGCACTGTGTAAAACATATGCTGGAGTAGTTGGCGGTTCATTCCGCTGTGGCAACCCCTGAAATAGACACTAAGCTGAAGAAAAATGAATGAATAATGTCATACAACAGCGGAATACCTGCCAAAAATTACATTACCGATGATTTTACTAAGAATTGCATGAAGTGAAATGTAAAAAGAGGTTATTTGGTTTGGTCACTTTCAGATTTGTAAAAATAAGTTGACTGCTTTGAATCCGAATTTTGAAATTTTGTGATTCTCCTCATAGCCTTTTTTAAATAAAAAGAAAGTTTCGCTTAACCCAAAAATATAAATTTACCAGCCTGATCTCACGAGGAAACGTAACTATTTTATACAACGTAACTAATTTGTACAAATTTAGTCGTTCGAAAATGTATGATTTTAGAAAGGAGGCATGACATTAAACCCCACCCCTAAACCCAATCGTCATTGGGGGATAAGCCAATTGTAATAAAATTGTCCTGATGATATCGTACAAATTCATACGAATTAGCCACTAAGGGCCCAATCATACACCTGGTGCAATAAGGCGCAAGATGTGTTTGGCCTGACATGTTGCTATTTTCAGACCAGCACAACAGTAATTTTCCCATTTTCCGCCTCGTTGTTTAAATGGTAAACACATTTGCGCCACTTTGTGGACTCATGGGTGTTCCGGTTTAGAAAAGTGGTGTGTTAAGGCACATTGTTGACCGGCTGAAAGATCTTAAGTCCAACACAGAACTCATCAGTTGTTTGCCTGTTGTGCGCCTCGCTTATACCTTTACAAATGAAAAATATTGAAAGGATTAAAATAGTACAAAAATTCTAATTTTCTACATGAATATAAAAACCTCTATGTCTATGCCTATGCCTCGAGGGCTTTTTTCAGTTTATTATTAAAACTTGCTTTTGTATAATGTTATTATTAGAATTTTTAGTAGTAGTATTTATTATATGCATATTTATTTATATTTGTTTTATTAAAAACAAGCTTAGATTTGCCCACCTGTCAGGATTTGGACCATTTGAGACATAGAACGTGTGTTTGAATAAAACTTTTTTGAACACACTTCGTTGTTATTGTTCATTTATTCGTTTGATGGAAAATGAGAACTGAATTTATAAATAGTTTTAAAACAAATCTTTGTGCTTAACAAACTAAATTAAATATGTAGGTTAATGGATGTCTTCAGTGGAGTGCGTACAACACTGTTTCCTTAGCCACGAAAAAGAGAAAATGAAAGAGAAAGTAAAGAGGCCGGATGGAAGAGGCTCATTCTTTATCCTCACACTACAGATGGTCTGTTTAAGTGTTTTCTTGCTAGTGAAACGTTCAATTTTTCCACTTACAAAGTCTGCCATATAAATAGCAAACGTGCTATGGTGCAACGCAACTGACTCTTATGGGGAATGGGAGATGAGACTCTGATTGGCTTATTCATTAATAGAATAAGCAAAACCCTGTTAGACCATTCGCCTGGGCGCAGAGCGTATTTTTCTGTCTTTAAAATAGCTAGTGGATTCGGACAGGCCCTTAATGCTTTTGCACCCTGCACTTTAGACTTTGCGCCTAGGTTATTAAAAATGAGTTTAAAAAAAGTTAAGAATTGCCATGGGTTGTGTTGCCATTTACTCACCTTCAAGTGGTTCCAAACCATTAAGAGTTTGCTTTTTTGTTGAACGCAAAAGAAAATATTTTGAAAAAAAATTAGAAGCATTCATAAAAAATAACCACTATGGAAATCGATGGTTATAGTATTTGAGCTTTTTTCAATAAAACTTGTTTTGTGTTTAACAGAAAAAAGAAACTCAAACTGTTATACGACCAATGAAGGTTGAGTAAATGATGACACAATTGTCTTTGTGGAAGCTTTAATTTTTTATGAATCTATAAATTAATATCACTTATTTGAATAATATCTCTAAAATGAGTTGACCAATACTTGAACTTTAAAAAAAGCAACCTTCTGGTGTAATTCTTATCATATTTAGTGTGCAATAAAAAAACTGACTTTGATAAATTTGTATGTTGGTTCAATAATTTAAATCAAAAGAAAATGTTAAATAAATGCCTACTTTAGAAAATCCCTAATTACTTAAAGTCTTCATGGCACACAGTCACAGCAAACAGATTATTCATATGAGATGAAATGTACTTAAAACAGAACGTGGGCTCCTTCTGCTCCGGGTAATTTGCTGAGTCTATTTCAGCGCACCAGTGACACTCACCAAGAGGAAAAACCTGCCTGGCTAATCTACAAGAGTTATTAAACTAAGTGACCAATTGCTGTCAATCAGCAGGTTGACACAAGCAATTTTAGCTCCTAATTCCTCTAATTAGAATAATTTAGCAGAGGAGTATGGGGATAATTATGGATAAACTGATAGAATTGTGTAAGAGAGTGAAAGCTGTGCTGAGCCAAAAATTGACCAGACTGCTCAGTTTTTTTTACTCCTAATTATAAGATATCAACACTTTTTGATGCACGTTGTGATACACAGAAAGCAATTACTTCTGAAATGACATGAGTTTGCTGGAGTCATGGAAAGAGTGATATTTGTGCACTTTTCTAAATAAGTAAAGTTCATAAAGTATAGTTTTTTTTTTTTTTCCTGAGCTGGCCTTTCGAATATGACTGCACCTGACAGATGCAGATTAAATCAAAGGTGGACCTTCATAGATAAAAATCTTTCGCACCTAGAAAGACTAAATCCCATTGAGATTTCTATCCCAGCCAAGGGCATCAGATACAGGCTTTCAGATGGCTTTGTCTTACTGTCTGACAGGTGAATGCTGAATAGAATCATTAGGGCACCGGCATTTTATTGATGTCATGCTTGTGTTAGAACTTTGATAACTTTTGTTACTTTTCTAATGTTATAAAATGGCATTTTAGTTTAATGTTATGTATTTGTATAGTTATTTAATAAGTCGTAGATATATTGAAGATGATGTAGAAGTCTAATTAAAAACCGAAGGCTTTAAAAGCTTAATTATTTTAGCTGTTTATATATGAGATCTACATGGAAGTTCAAATATAGACTGTATCTTGCAGTTTGAGTTTATCATAATAACAACAATATCTCTAAGTATGGCTATTTTGTGAATAATGCTTCATTATCTTGTGATTGCAATTATAATTTATGGTGTGTGAATTTGAGGTGAATTTGCAGATTTATTACAATTACTTGCTTCATAGGAGTTTGGTTCACATTGCCGGCATTAAGTCAGACTTGCTTCCAGTGCATGTCGGGCAACGGCAGGGCTTCCTCTTTGTCACAAATTCTGTTCATAATTTTTATAGACAGAATTTCAAAGTGCAGCCTTGGGCTGGAGGGGGTCTGGTTCGGGGACCACAGGATTTCATCTCTGTTATTCGCAGACGATGTCGTTCAACTCCAAGTCCGAGGCCATGGTGCTTCACCAGAAAAAGGTGGTTTGCAATCTCCAGGTTGGAGGAGAGTCCTTACCCCAGGTGGAGGAGTTGAAGTATCTTGGGGTTTTGTTCACGAGTGAGGGAAGGATGGAGCGTGAGATTGACAGGCGGATTGGTGCAGT